TTTACGTTATTAAAACGCTATCTTACGAGCTGTTAGCGCTCCTGACGAAATACAGTCATCGGGAGGATACGACAATCGAGAGATCGAAAAAAGAGTAGCAACGGGAAGGACTAAGTAACCCTGAAACGACACCGCATGCATGAGTGAAAATTGCTTCATACAGTGCAACTTGACGGCGACGCAAAAAACTGTATAAAATCTCCTGAAGGCCAAAATTCAAGCCTACTCCGTTCGGCAGGTACACTTAACAAATCACAGAACACTTGGGAAACGTACCAATACATTCGGCCGCGCTCGAAAAGACACCGGCGTCGCTCGTGAGAATGGGCTGGGGCAGCTTGCACGAGCCGGTCAACCACAAAACTAACCACAGACTAACAAAAAATAATCGGTAGGGGCAGGAAACATATGAGCACAATGTTACTAAGCTGAAGGCAGCGATGCTCAACATACAACTATAAAGTCCTACGTCATTAGATACGCCGTGACGAAGACAAGACAGTCACACGGAGCCTAAGAATACCGAGCAAACACAGCCTGTCGACCAATTCACCCAAAAGGGGGACGCAAACGCAACTAACTCCCATCGAGGTGACGATATACAATAGAGGAGGCCACTAACACTCACATGTGACGGCCAGTAGGCCAAGACAGCGAAAGAAGAAAAAAAAACTGATCAGCCCAAGGCCAACTAATCCGGCTATCTATTCAAAATTCTGATCGATTTTTGCACTAGACGCTTTGATAATGGAGAGCCGTCCAAGCTCTTCTAAACGTCAGCCAAACGGGTCCGGTGGCACTTCCTCTTCCACAGTTGATAATAAAACAACACGTTGTATATACACATAAAAGGCGCACAGGGAAAACTGAAACTAAATAATAATGAGGTTGCTGGGCACTATACCTTGTGACATGATGAGATTTTTAAGCAGGTTCACTACTCCAATATTTATTCAGTGTATGTGCATAAATTCGCACGTCGTTTATAGAAAAGTGTTATTTTAACGCTTGTTATGAAAGTATTCCTTCAGCGCTGAAGGAATTGTTTCATAACAAGCATTAAAATAACACCTTTTTAAAAAGACGTGTGAATGTAGGGGAAAAATAGCATATGAAAACTTTAACAGCGACTTTGATCTTTGACCTGATTACCGATTAAGTTGGGGACGAAAATAAACACATTGTCCGTCATCTCCGTGACTGCGACCAGGGAGGCTAACGCTTAAACCACTCAGAAGGTTGTTATATGTGCTTATTAAAAGTGCTGACAATAGGTCCGTCAAAGATTAAAACATCCACTTGATTAGGCATTGAAAGACTGCTTACACCTAGTTTTTTCTCTCCAAAATATGCGTAAGCTTTAAACTAACCTCGAATTCGAGCTGTCCCGTCACAATGTAGGAGTGCGTAAGGAAGATTTTCGCGGGCAATCAAGGTGATGGACAGATTTCTGGAGAATTGGAAAGGGCTATAGAATGGCTAAACTTTGAAAGAAAAGGACGCTGGCCAAAATGAGGGAGGGAAAGAAGAAAAAGAAAAATGCTGGAGAACGCCATTGAAGACTTGCGTATCATAGTGAAGGATGTTCAGATCAGCTCAGCTGAATTTATTGCGGGAAATGAGTGTGAATTTTTGAGAGCCTTATTTTTGACGTAACATGCATGTTGTTTACAGAGAAACCATGTGGGTTAGATTAGTTCAAACAGACCTGCAATATTATGACATATTGGACGTGCGTCTAAGGGGCTGACATCGATCTCTCATCGCACTTGATCATTTCGAAACATAAACTACATCACATTCGCGTTGTCTTCTTCAAGAAAATTCATGTTTTTCATCGTTTTCCATTAATTTTTCATATTACTTACTGAATACTTCACAGCGTTTGCCTGCTCCTTCTAACATTCAGTCAATATGCATCGTCATTCGCCGCAAAATACATTTTGGGTGCTAAATAAACCATCTGTTCGTTTGTAAATAAGTAAAGGTTACTTTTAATGCTTTCTATCCATAGTGAAATCAGGACGTCTGTTGGGAGGGCATTCTTCAGTTTGACCTTTCGGACATAGAAGACCTTCCATACATTTGATCTTGCGTGCTGAATGCGCAATTTTAATGAGTGACCTCAGTGTTTGATCATGGTAGCAAATTCAAGGCAGTCGTCAAATGCAGTCCATTCCTATAGCAATTTGAAATGCATGTAAGAGATTCCCGTGCAGTTATCTATAACTCAAACGTTTCCAACAACATTCCCTTCGCAAAACTAATGCAAATGACAGCAACTAATAAGACAAATATAAAAGAAGTCGATAATTTTGGCAGACTACCTTGAGTTGCGAACATACACGGTGAACTGCACTTAACTCTACCGCAACAAATACCGCAATTGCAGTAAACTGCGCTGCCTCTTGAATAATCGCCAACGATTTACTTAGATTATATGCTCAGATATTTAATTCTACGTTTTATGACACTCTTTGAAGTGGTCGTCAATTCATTATGGTGCTGAACAGGTTTTTGACGTGATTTCTAATATTGGGCGCCCAAATTATACATTACATGATCTTCTCAGTACTTCTACGGGCTTTGTGACCCACCCCTGATTTAATGACGAAAGTTTGGGGTTATTCAGGCTTTTCACTGAACGTTATTTAAAAGGACGGTAAACAAGCTCGGAGGAAAAAATACATCCGAATTACAGAACTCTTCAGCTAATTAGCATACGTACAAATGGTCAAGGAAATGCACGCTGCGGTCGCTCCAGGAGGATACGAGCGCAGATCTTTGCAGCGATGATGAGTGGCGGGGTGCCATTGTGATTGTCGCAGACTTTTCAGTTGCTTCTGCGCCTGTAGAGGGTTAGAACGTTTGGGCCCCTGAAGTCCAGTGGAACTTTTCCACAGTGCTGCATTTCCTGAAAGAACGTCGTGAATATTTCCATCAGGCACTGGCCGCCGGGCTTGTAAATTTCGATTGGGGTTGTGTTGGAACTTGATGCTTTCCCGTTGGGGAGTTGTTGCGCGGCGCGAATGGTTTCTGGAAGGGAGGGCGGGAGGTCGAGATCGACGTTGATTTTCACTTCAGTCGGCCGATGGCGACGTCGGAGATTGCGGAAGAAGTTGTGAACGTTTCTGAAGTGATCGGTCAGGCGCTTCAGAATCTGGGACTTCTCCGTCAAAAGGGTTGATCCGTCGGTGCCGAGAAGCGGTGCATTTCCCATAATCGGGCTAATGTAGACCGTTTTGATCACAATGAAAAGATTCTTAAATTCCTTGCGGTCGGCATGTCCCTAGATCTTACAGGCCTTACGAGCAACCCATTTTTCACAATCGGTACTGCGTAAGGCGGTGACATGATTAAAAACAGCTATGTTCTCATTGGTTGGGCGGTTGAAGTAGGCTCCATGCAGTTTGATCTTCGCGGACACCGAGTCACTGATGGCGGTCTCATTGTCGTCAAACCAGCCTAGTAATGGCCGCATGCGCGGCCGAGGATAGCCAGGGCGGTTGAGTGAATTTTGTCCCGTAGTCAGCACCATCGACTCGCCGCGAAAGCGTTTTCACCTGCTGCTGGCAGGCTTTCAGACCGCAAAGTCAGTTGACTGCTGAAATGCAAACGGTGAACATGCAATGCCAACAACGCAGCGTACAGCTTATCTGGAGATCCCTTATCGTTTGGTCTCTTGCAGGCTTGTAGAAGGGGTTTTATTTTAGATGTGTCGAGACGGTGGTTCGTCCAGCCATCCGCTCAACAGATCGCCTTGGTCACCGGCACATTCTTTCAATCTCGCTGCCGAACGGGAGCTAGTTCTGCAGCTACCTGCGCCACGATCCGGGATGCATCCAGCTGTATTTCTTCCGCATCGGTAGGCGGAAAAGTAGGTTGTTCTACAGGAGGCAATATTCAGTGCAGGTCCGCAGGAGATTGAGACCATTTTCGCTGCAGCCGACGATCGCGTGAGGGCCCAGACCTCCACTCCAGGCGGGACAGTCTGTCCTGACGCGGACATTGAAGTCACTTAGGACGCTTAAGTTACCCGCCTTTAGAGCAGACGCCAGGAGGGCCTACAGATTTTCGTAGAAACTGGGTTTTCCACTCGCCACAGCCGGTCATTGATGAGGCATAGACACCGATGATGATGATGATGATGATGATGATGATGATGATGATGATGATGATGATGATGATGATGATGATGATGATGATGATGATGATGATGAATTTGTCTCTCAGAGGAAAAAACGGAGGCATTTCAGGTGTTCGTTGATGCCGTTGCGACAGGCAGGGAAGTTGTCCCACGATGTTGTTCCTCAAGGACATGTCAACGCCCGCGTCTCATCACTCTGCCTTGGGGGCGGCAGCTCCAGAAAAAGGTGTAACTGCATCTACGTCCTCCAGAAGACCTTATTCAGAGAGCCAGGTTTCGCTGAATGAAACAGTGTTCACCTTGTAGCGCGCCCGTTCCCAAGAGACTAGCAACACCTTCCGTTCGCCTCAACTGTTTCCGAGATTATCTAAAAGAGGAAGAAAATTCCAGGTTGCCAGCATGACAGACGCACCCTTGCAGCCCGTGGGGTGGGGCGGTGGGGAAGAAGAAGGGAGAATTTTGTCCGGTGTTTTGTTTTCAAACGCGTTTTAGGCAGTTTGTAAGCCACGATCTGCGCCCAGATGACGTGAGCTCAGCTACTTTTGAGGCATTTTTATAGCCCATCTTCCCACGAGGGGGAAAGAAAAGCTCACCTCGAATTAATTCGATAAGGCTCTGCTATTGTGCGTAGATTGTTATGGCTACCCAGACGGCGCACTTTTAAACAGGCGCGAGGCATGAAGGGTTCTGATTATCGAGGGTATTACCGTCAGTTAAGCTTTACGAAATCTTCAGGAGAGTTTCTAAAGTTGATGGCGACAAAATAGAAGAAGAAACTAGACACTTAGCACGTATGCTTCAAGAATTCAAAAATAATGTTGCAAAGAAGCGAGAACTTAAGTGAGTGGATGTTTTCAAAAATGCATTCAGTATGTAGTAGAAATGGTTTCTGGGAATCCGCAAAGCTAAGCTCGATAAAATCACCAAAGCAACAGGTCTCAGTGCGAAACGTAACGTTCAATACGACTAGTAAATTAACCCATTTAAATAGTTCACGAAGTTACGTGTTTTGACAGCCGAGGAAAACGGTTTGGTTCGGCCAAAAGTTTGGATATGTTTAGGCAGGGCAACCCAGAAGTTTGAATTCCCCAAGAAGCACAGAGTGCTTTGAAGAACAGTCTACTCCTCAGCCAGATACCGATGTATGTGGTCAGTGCGAAAAGATATTTGCTGTTGTCGTAAGTCCTCAATTTAATTTCAATAGGCGCAAAGTTGTGCCAAGAGTGTGGTGAGAGGTTCTGTGCCAAATGCTTTGCTCAGTTCCACATGAAGGGGGCCCTTAAGAAGCATCACTCGGTGATGATAACGGTAATATATATCATATAACCCACATTTGCCGAAGGCTTCGAGCAAACGCCTGGGAAGAGAGCAAAATAGGAAAGTTTCTGTAAAAAGCGAGGAGGATGCGCGTGATGCCAAAATGCTTACTTCTGAAGGGGTACAAACAGGAGATAAGTCGAAGTTTTGCGTGAGTAAATTTGGTAAAAATGCCTTCATAAACCACAGTTTTCCCATTCCATTTCGTTTTACCATTTCTCACTGAAGAATTTGAAAGACTTTCGTTAACAGTTCGTAAATGTGAGATTTAAATTCTTTCCTGTACTTTTTGTCAAAACTGATGTTCAGTTTGGCCACCAAGGCTTTTTTTGCAATAGCTAAGCACAATTTATTTTGCTCCATAAAATGAAGTATAATTATTAATCCATCCAGCGGCTTTGGGACTGGCTATATATCCTTCTGTTTCGTTAACGGACAGTAATGGAAGCAACACCGCCAACATTTAAAAATCTGGTGCGCAGTTTAGAAAGCCAATTTCGTTTCTAACAGTTAGGAAATTCGTTCTAAAACAATGTTGTGTGGATTTCACAGAATATCGGTTCACCTTATTCAACTTTGAGCTCTTCCGTTTTTCTTACTTACGGTGTTTTTAAGTTTAAAAAGGTTCATCCCTTGCGAAATCTCTTAATTTCTCTTAAATTCACCCGTAATTTTCACCGCCAATGTATGCTATTTTCTTAGCCAATAGATTCCATTTGCAAGATTAATTGTCTCCTGCGTACTGTTTATATCCCCTACATCCCTATTAGTCGTATAAAATGCCTGTAATGATAGCGATGATACCTTTTTTTACGGAGTATTTGTTAAGTCTAAGTGCATATTTGGTTTGCCCAGACCAGTTTTGATCAAGTTAAGTTTTACGGAAGCCGGCGAATTCGCACTAACGTAAAGCAGAATCACAGTTTTGATAAACGGTTTGCACTGCTAGCATCTGGTAGGAACAGCCAATTATTCTAGCTTAAAAAACAAAAGAAATTTAGATTAAAGAGAATTTGAGCTTCAAGATAGTGTAAGCAGTCAGAAGGATTTCTTGGTTTATAGCCATACGGTTGATGAAGTTTTCTCAACTGCAGTCCTGAAGTTGATTAGAAAATAGATAAATGTGAAGACCTCCGTAATAAAATCTTCGACGCCGTAGAGGTAGGAGGTGCACGCCAGTGACGTTGGCGTCTCAAGTTAGGAGACTTCCGGCCAAGACACAGTGCACCTACCATAAATTATTTTAAAAATACAAGTCGACAAGCTCCTTGTGGGATAAGCAGCAGAAAACCTAATTGCGCAAGGGTTTTAATCAGCGCAACTGACCGTAAGTTCATAAAACGATTCCACCGATTTTATGACATATGGCAACGACATGGTTTATATTTCGCCAGGCGCCACTAGCTTATAAAGTTATTCAGCTACTATCCGAAGACAGTATCAACCCCTCTTAATGGTCAGTGTTCAACTGAAGAACACCCATGGCCGAAAAAGGTCGTAAGAAGCTGTAAACAGTCCGACGCAGCCGAAGTCGGTCAAAAACGGCCATAAATCTCAGATGACCGCACAACGCGCCGCTCTGGACCAAACGCTAGTCAATGTTGACATTTCCTGAAAAACTGTTAACGAGGGATCGCGCCAAAAAACTCGACAATTATAACGGATAGAACCAGTTTCGGGACAAATAGTTTCAAACATTACCTAGTCAAACATCTCTGGCCGAGGGTTCAGTTAACAGAAGTCAGTAAGTGTTTGGAACTTTTACATAAGCGCTACTATGGGAAAGGTGCCTTTACAGAGCAACACACGCAACCAAGTCGAAAACTTTTGACATCTGGAAGGATGGTATTGTTTAGACATTCAATGGGGACTTAACTAGTGTCAATCTGCTCAGGCTCTGGTCTGGACCTAGCGTATAGGTGACACTGACGTCATATCTTTCCCTAGCAGCCTCACTTATGACTATGCCGTCACCACCACCACCACCACCAAAATCAACAGCAGCGGCAGTTAACAGTCCAGTACAACTTCTGCGTGAATTCATCTGCTTTTGGTGTAGACACTCGTATTCGAGAAGAGCGCTCTTAGACCGCGATCGTATTTGCCCAGATAGTTGCTGAGGGCTGTTGCACATGTTAATTAGATATCACGTTCAAGCATTTTTTCAATTAAAACAAAATGAACTAAATATGTCCGTTTAAATTCAGTGGCACCCCGTTTCTTTGCAGTTTAACTACGCAGTGTTCTTACTGACTGGGCTTTCCTTACAGCTCTGTATACTGGATTCATTTTACTCATCCTTGAGGCCTTGCTGTCAAAAGGAATTGCTTACTGCCTAGAAGGCGTTTCCCTTGCCATACTAGCAAAGATTGAGGGTACGTCTTCGGAGTGAAGTCGAAGTTGTGCTTTAATTGTTAAAAATAGGCGTTAATCTAGTGAATTTTTGGGCAAAAATGCTGTTTTAAGCTCCGGTGGTTAGTGTTGGGGTCCACGGGCTCTCTGGGGTTGATTTTGCTACAGACATGGCTTATCATCACAAGAGTTTCAGTGGATTTGGGCATACTACGTAAAAACACAGGTCAGAGTCAACGTGAGCAGCGTTGGAAGCACATCTCGAGCATTCGTTCGGTGCGCATTTTTTGCCAAATCTGCTCAGCTATGCAATAGTCTGAGCTTCTAGACGACCAGTGGCATACAACCCACCGTCATAGTAATCCGTTATTCCACGTGTTGGTGATCTTCATCAGGCTGTTGGAGTTAAACCACTGGCTAATTCCTTTGCAGATGTGCAGTTTATTCTGTTGGAGATAGCTGCAACGTTTTACCGAAGTTGACACAAAAGCAGATTTTTCGACGATTGATATGATGGTTTCAGGCTTCGAGGTCAGAGATTACTGTCTGGTCAACGCAGATGGCGAAGGCGATGAATTAGTAGGCAACTTCTGACGGCTTGATTCAAACGACCTGGTTAACTGGCGAGACAAGAATGAAATGGGTTATGAAGTCAACGTGGCATAAATGGCCCTTTTTCAATTTCGCGCCTGACATGGGATCACTGTGAGGCTAGTTTGATGACCAAATCGCGCATCTTCATGACCTTTTTCAGTGAAAGACAAGCCATACGTTCACAATACATTTATTACCTGGATGCGTTCGATAGATGACGCATGCACATCATTTCCCGGATTTTTACTTTATCTCCTCTCCACAAGACGAGCTTGAGGTCTGTGAATTGCACAACTACTCAGATGCTTCTTATTTACTCGCTAATTTGGACTGTCCATGTGACGAAATCATCTGTGACGCATCTTTTTCGACGCCGACCCTAGTCATTGAGCGCCTCGAGGTATCCGACTGATGATAGGAGATAAACATGGCAAAAACAAACTTAACGCCATTCTGCCCTTTCGACCTGTAGAGCAAGTACAGTGAATTTACAATCTCATGAAATGTAACCCGAAATTCTGAAATGTGTCTTTGGTTAGAAAAGGTCACTTAGGTAGGGTCATGAGACTACCTGCCGCGAAACATAATCGCAAGATATTTCAGTTATGTCAGGTTGTCGGATTTTGAAGGAGTTTCTTTTCGGCCACCAGCAAAAACGTCCCTCTGTAGGAAATGACTACTAATGTAGCATGAAGTTTGCTAACAGATTTTCGATACCTTTTATTCATTCAATCATACTGCGTAAAATACATGTGCAAAAGTATTTATCATGCACTTATCTGGTAGCAAATTATATCTTCTTCAAATATTATACCCGATAAAGGGTGTTTTTTGCTTCTAGAGATTTTTAATTATGCGATTTTTTGAAACTCTGAAATGTCAGCGCACCAAGTATCGTATCCGTTTATTTATTAATGTTGTTTGTAAAGTATGCAACATAGCACAAGCCTACTGCAGAATTTGACGATCTTGCATGAAATCTTCTCAACAGTATATAGGAATATGTAATTTTCCTTACAGGAAAGACATACAGTGGGTAGTTTGGAAACCCTGAATAAAATTGCAACGACGGGTTAGGTTTAGAATTATTCGACGACTAAGAACGGTCACAAAAACTGGAAGGCATTTTTTTCCAGGTAAAAAATACAACGGCGCGAAATTTGCTAGCAGATAAGCACAGGAAAGGACAGATTTGTGCGTGTTTTTGATAAGTTATACCCGAACACATACGGACATAGAAAATCAATGTGAAAAAGTCATACTATTTAAGTAGCCACTTTTCTGCGGACTATAGTTTTTGAAAGTGGCCAAGAAGACGCTCGTTCAGGATTCGGCGCCCTGACGTGACTGACATTCCCTGTGATTATGCTGACCGACAGGTCTTACGACCCTACATAAGGAATCTTTTCTATGGAAGAAGCATTTAAAAACGTCGTCAACATTTCATTAGATAGTGCATCTGCTGTACATTTAGGCCCAAATTGTTGAATTCAAAACCGTTATGGAAATGGGAACTGACCTGTCTTACTATGAAATGGTCAAAAACGCGCCGGAAGTGACTCCTGCAGACACTAATTTGACGAAGGTTGTCAGTCTTCTAAAGGATTGTGCTTTACACTCGACAATTTGAAACGTAGAACATTGCGTCTGATGGATGAATGCAGTCTGTGGGTGTAATGGAAGGTCCATATAAGGAAATAGAACACTCTGTCGTGGTAGATGCTGATAAGAGCGCAGATTTTATATGATAATCGTCGGATATTGACAGCCAATACAGCCATGAACCACTTGCTCTAGAGAACGACACGGATCGCACAGTGCCTTGCTCAGCATGGAAGAAACTTCACGTATTGTGGGTGTGAATGACTAAGAGGAAACATCATTGGTAGGGGGCGCTAACCGATCGAAAACGACAGGGCAACGAGCTTGTGACCCAGTGGTTAGAGGCGTGGACTTCCAACTAACAGGTCGCGAGTTCGAGCCTCGGGTGTTCCACACTTCGGGGTTGGGTATGACTGGCTGACGACGGCTAATAAGCCGGAAATGGCCATTCCAGTCTCTCTTGTCTTTGTGGGTAATAACATACTGCCTATGAATCATCAATGGCCGTGGTGTTCAATGCCTACATGCTTGCGCGGGAACTAGGCGAAGATGGTTTTTGTCCAAGTACTGCGTGTGTATGTTTGGATGATACTTGGATGTCTGTGATTGTTTGGACGCAAGCGTTTCCTAGTTGAATTCAGTTTTGTGAAATCCTGGTCAGTGTACATTGTGGATCGGGAGATGTGGTGGTACGCCTTGGTACGGCTTTTTGTCCAATCAGTCAACTGCGTCCTCTCCAGCTTCCTGTTTCCTTGCTTCTGTCAAGACACCGGACCCAGGTGTGGTAGATTCTGAGAAATTCTGTTGCTCACACGCAACTTACCATCCCTGCTCTCGCCCTGCTGTAGAGCAGGTGGTGGACGTTGTTGTGAACGACGGTCGAACTGTCAATTAGTAGCAGATTGATACGAAGGGTTTGGTTCCGATTAGACAGCAAAGTGAAAGCTGGACACACCCGCTCCAACGTATTTCGAATGGAATCCAATGAAAGATCTCTGCCCCAAAAGGACGCACTTTTCTTTTAGATATCCAATGAAATTCAAACAAAGACTGGCCCAATTGACAACGATATTCAGAAGGCCCAAGAACGACCTCAACCTAAAGAGACATGTGTCGGGACAGATCCCGTTCCACAGCCTCCAAAAATGACTCCATCTTTCAATTTATCTGCCAGCTCCTTAAGCTATGCAGAACGCTTGCTCATACAGAAGAACAGATTACATGAACTTCCCAAATTTAGCCCAGTAAATTCCGCTTTACCCATCCCGACAGCTAGTACTGCTGAGGAAGAAGAAGACCGAGAAATTGGTAAATATATTTTTTATGTTTTTATTTTTTGTATTTCTTTTTCTTTATATTTTTGTAGTTCTTTTTATATTTCTTTTTGTGTTTATTCGTATGTGTTTTGTCGATTTTGTGTGAATTTTTTTAAACTAATAGACGCCTGAAAACGTTCGTGGCGAAGAATGTATTTTAAGTTCGCGCATTATTTTTTGCGGAAATTAAAAGGCTTGATTCCAATTAAAAATTTTGAGGAGAGTATGTCTGAAAACGTGGTGAAAAAATTATGTCAGCACGAAAAATGAAGTCGGCATTTTGGCAAAAGCAAGCTACTTGTACCTGTAAAAGGATTGTTTGAGTAGGCTGAAATGTGTCTTTTTTACTGTCGAATTTTTTCCATGCGAAAGGCGGTCAATGAAAGAGCTCCTAAAGCAAAATATATAAAATGCCCACAGGTGTATGCCGAAAGCGACGTCGTATGAATTCTAGAGAGTGAACTGGCGGGACCGTCTTCTCAATTAATCCAGCCGGTGAATAACTGCAAAAACAGGGAGTCCCTTCGAGTTGAACCATATCTATAATGTGTGTAGTTTGATCTCTTGTAAGGGTTTGCATGTACGTTCGTAGCAGAGGTATAATAAATATTTGACTCTATAAATCGTACAGATATTACTGGGTGTTTGGGTTTACTGTTGACCATTTCCTTTTAGACGCATCCCCAGATTGGTCAGAAAAGGATGAAATCCCCAGCGCTGAGTCGCTCTACCAGCTCTCTCAAATCTCTCTAGCCGACTACAAGAGTGGCGTGTTAGAGGTCGGTCATTCGGACCCGCAGTCTTCGATCAAGGTCCATGCTGACTCCGTGGCGGACAAACTGAGAGCGGATTTTGGTGATGCGACTGAAACCCAGTCATGCGTGGAACCAAACGCTGAGGACACTACCCAGTACTTAACTACTCGGTGTATATCCACTCAGGCGAATCGAATGATAAGCTTAGCGCTGTATTATAGAGAAGTGTCACCGAAATGTTTCTATGTGGTATTTTTCTCTTTACCTCTGCGCATGGTGGTCGGTGTAAAGGCCAAACAAACCCTAGAAGAGACAAACGTTGTTGGATAGACTCATTTGAGGAGCATTAAATATGTCAAAGCGGAGACGACAGCTCTTTTAATTCTAATTGTCTTCGAAAAGTTCTATTTTGTCCCGGAAAAAAACGTATCGAAGTGAATGTACACTATGCAGGTGTAAGTATGAACATGAAAGAAAACGATTAATCCAGCGACGTAATCGTTTGTTTATTTGTCTGACCTTCTGAACTCGTGCGGTAGCGAGCATCCCAGACTCCAATGGCTTCACCATTTTAAACAAGCATGCTGTTCCGGTTATTGCACTTTGTTCAGATTACAACAAGCAATGGAAACGAAAATTCTCCGTTCTCAAACTCTCCGTTTATTGCTGACCGTAACGATAATCTTTTTAAAAGTTTTTAAAGAATCCGATCAGGACCATAGGCGATGCTCTCTGGTAAGGAAATAAAGTTATCCGGACCGACCAAACTAGCGCTAAGATAAATGGTCATTTATTAAAGCGCTCCCTAAGACCCACTGAATTTTCTTTCTGTCGCTATTGACAGGGTCGTATAAAGTGACATACCACTGTAAGCCACCTCTTTATATCATATTGCGAGCGTTTGGATACGCTTTGTCTAGTCTCAGACACGCTGATCTGTGCATCAATGAAACGAAATTTCCCGAAGATATTTGAGCTCACGGAGAAATTCCTCGACTAGGGACTATAGGGAAGAAGGTCAAACGGCCGTAAATTAATGATCACGTCAAGACAGCAGGATGAACATTAGGAAAGGGCGTAGCTAAGCCTATAAAATGCAGATTTTATGCGGTTTTCATGTTTTTAAAAGGTGTTTTCAAGAAACGCAACCGCAACCCATTTCGCCTTCGAAGACCCACTCGTAGGCTCCCTTTTCCGTTGTTATCACCTTTCGTTTAAAATTACCTCCTTTTGTTTCAGGCACGCAACTGGCGGGCTGAACTCAAAGTCTCATTCCCTGAAGTTTGACCAGAAAGGTAAGCTAATAAATATAATCATATACTTGAGGAAGGATGAGGTAGACGGACAGAGCACCGGAACACTTTTTTCATTTTTTAAGCCTTCAAATTTGCGCATGGGATACTGGCAACCTTTATCACCGACAACTGACTTGTATTCGAGTGTTGGCCTCTAGAATTATATTTATTATAGTGGAAGGCCTTTCTGCATGTATGAATGTTGAAAGTGCCTCCATCAGTCGGGTTACATGGCGCAGTCCTCCTGTGGTGCTTTGATGATCAATCTAGAGCTCCCAAACGCAGACACAAAGCGACTGGTATTATGGCTGTCATCAACCAGCCACACCAAACAAACTGCTTGGGTCTCCGCGGAATCGGCAGCCGCAACATCAATGGTTTTAACATCGGGCCCAAATACGTTGCCAATAGAAGCGAAGAGACAAGTCCCAGGAAGCAGTCTTGAAGAAGGAGACACGATCAATGGGACAAGAGCTTTATAAGCCTGACGTTTCGGATTCCTGCTCGAACCCTCCATCAGAGACAAAAGCAGATACGGGTGGCTCATGCACAAGAGGCCGACATTCGCGTCGTTAATTACGGCAATTTCATCACGTGCACTAGATGTTGGTGTGACGAATGCTCGACCATCTGATTCACCGACCCTGGTGTTGGGAAGAGTGTTCACCTGTGCGCTCCCCGCGTGGCTAATTACTCCGCCTAGGCGAAGTCTCAGTACCGAGTATGAAGGTGAAGGTCATTGCACTTGTAAATGGACTGGGGGCCAGTTAACCATGATGGCTATTTCTGACATTTTGGCCGTCGCCAGCCAGTTTTACCCAAACTCATCTCACCTGAGCCTTGAGCCCGCGTTCTTCTTGGTCATGTTTAACGCACTAACAATTGAGCCAAAACCCTGTTATTCTGTCAGTTGCTATCTGGAATAGCAGCTCCGTTGGAAGTGCGTTTACCGATCGTGCTGCAGCACATGCTCATCGTGTTGTGCTTGGAGGCTCAATCCGGAGCCCACAAACACAGAAGCCAAACGACCAGTTATTACTAAAAAGACGAGGGAGACTGCAATGCTAATTCATGGCTTATTAGCCGCACCCCAACCAACGTTTGCAGGGCCTGGGCCTCGATCTCGCGTGCTTCAGTTATTGAGCGTTATAAAATCTAACGCACAATCATTTGGGCCACGGACTCGCTGTCCTGTCAGTTATGATCGGGAATGTTCGCTATGTTGGAAGTGCTTTCACCGATCGGGCGACAGGACATGCTTTTGCCTATACGTGTTTTGGGGCCTGAGTGTTCCCCAAAGGGGTCACTGGGTAAGTGATCTGGACTAGCACGGGGGCTACATTGGATTCTGGCAGGCGTTATCGGAATGTGCACCATAATAGATTCCGACATTTGGAGTGCGGTGGCAGACCCAGTTACCGACTGACGTCACGAGCATTGGGATACCTACTGCCCCCCAACCGTTATTGCTGACTTAAAATCTCCATCAAGTGTTATTGTGGGCCAGAAGGTGTGGGTCCGGCCGCGCCATCGACCTGCCCCCCCGATTCTGGCATTCTTGGATATATCTTGCCACCGGGTCCAGGTGGGGGAGGACGAGAGTGTGCAGTAGCTGCTGCGCATGTCCACACTCACTATAAACTAATTCACGTGCAAGTCACCGTGCCTGCTTCCTCCTGATGTGTGATGCACGGTGGACACCTTTCGGCACGACGGTCAAACTGTCGTGTTTGGGGCCCTATAGGCGGCTGTACAGAGACTAGTAGAAGACTGTCGACAAAGACAGAGGAGGTTGGAATGGCTCCTTCTGGTTTTTTATCCATCGTCAGCGGTCTGCTGTTGGTTGCCCTCCCGCAATTTCTCTCACCAGAGAACATGGGCACACGAAACTGGTGTGCGTCTATTCTAGTGACTCAACTGTACAGCCTTTGACTCATTGGCGGGGGCTGGCGGGGCTCTTGATCGAGCCCCAAGGCACAACTGGACCAGTGCGGCGTAACGCGATCTGCAAGCGGCTCCCTAACATTATTAATATGCCCGATCGCAACCAGCTTGACAACTAACTCGTGGCTCAATGGTTAGGGAGTCGGACTTGTTAAACTAACAGGACGCGAAATCGAGTCTCAGGGGTTTCAAAACCTGGGGATGGGTATGGCTGCCTGATGACTATTAACAAGCCGGAAATGGTCATTCATGTTTCTCTAGTTTTTGTCGACATTTTCGTTCTGCCCGTATATATCAGGAAGTAATTTCGAAAGTTATTGGGGACAGGACTTTGAACTGAAAATGATAAACCGCAGGTCTAAGGACACCAGTTGTTTGGAGCCATTTTCTGGTTATTTAGTGGTTTTAAATCCAACGCCTTAACTATTGGATCACAAGCTCGTTTTCTTGTCGATTCTGATCGGGAATATTAACAATGATTGAAGTGCATTTACCCAATGTTTCACGGCATCTGCTCGTCCCGTTTTGTTTTGGGTCTCGACCAAGAACCCTGAAGGCATATACAGAAGGAGATTGTTGACAAAAAAAGGAAGCGAGAAAGGCCATTTCTGGCTTACTAGTCGTGACTAAAAAGCGATCATAAATGGATCTCTAAACGAGCGATTCAACAGCGGCATAGATAGCCCGGAAAACACGGAGCACCTCTAGAGGCATACTTCTCGATTAAGCTGTAACTTCTTTGAAGTGGAAGTTTGGCTGACTCTTATTGATATAAGCTCTGTATAATTAAAATGCCGTCGGGATATTTCCTCACCTCTTTGTGAACGTTATGATTTTTGCAATTGTGAACCATTTGATGAACTAATTGGAACGTTTTGCAAATTTTCGACTTGTTAGAAGGTTCCAACGGAGAAGCCTGGCCGGAATGCAAATATCAATTTGACGCAGAACGCACTTTACAGGTTATTCGGTCACATCTAGAGAATCTTTGCGCCCAAAGTGAAGAGGACGACGAAGGGGTGGAGGTGACGGATATGGTTTGAGGAGACCTGTATCCTTTGCGATCCCCCATTCAATGAAAAAGGCCGGTGTTGTTATTCACCTTTTAATAAAGCATAATACCCCCGCCTTCTCAAATACAATACTTACGGAAGCATACCTAGGCGCGGTTATATGTAGGGATTCATTTCAATTGCGCGGTCGCTATGACTACTGATGAAAATGATTATAAGTTAAAAACATACGCTACTATTATTTATCTAGTAGATGTTTTGCATCCTATTTGCTGATATCTGGGTCAGATTTGATGCATTTTAATAAAGCGTACCTTACCATGTAGGAGCGAAATTACAGAACTCCACTTTATCTTATCTCAATGATCAGAAGGACGAGGGTGGTAAATCTGAAAAGTCATACCCGGTCGGCCAATTGGTTGACTGGAACCACCAACGGATATACCAGTTTGGCCAAAACTTGTGACCTATTTATCGCATCTATGCTGTTCTCGACCAAACTTACTGTGTTTTACGGGTCTTAGTCGTCGGACATTTGGCCTTGGAAGGCTCTGTCTACCTTTATTGCATGATAAAACGCTGTAATTCTGAGAATTGCCTCAAGTCTAAGCGTGCCTTGCACAAGGCGAACCCGAGTAGTCACGTGGTTGCCACCACGTGTGCTGTAATTATTCTTAAAAAACGACGGCAACGTCATTAAACTTACAGTGATTTGCATGCGTAAGCTAAACACAAGTGACTGAGTGAATTATGAACTGAAGGCGAGTCAGCTCTATGTCAACCTCAATTAAGCAATGTTTTCTGTATGAGCAAGTGTTTAGGGACTCGGAGTATTCTTCCTCGACTTTTCTCGCACATCGTCATCGCAAACATCACTGTGAAAGACATTTTCAGACTGAAAGTACAAGTCTGTTAGGAGTCGGGGAGCGGTGTAGATTATCCTACTAAATAGGAACGACGCGGGAAAAAGGGGTGACGTACTGATTGGTTCAAGCAAAGAGGCCGCAATTGGGTTGGTAAAAAGGTTTGAGGTTTGTAAGGCATGTCTCTGACGCAGACTTGCATCTGTTTGAGATCTACACCTTCCAACTGGTTTGTCAGAAATGATTACGAAAAAAACAAGTAACATCAAACCAATCAGATGATTACAGCGAGCCCCTAGTAATTGAGGTGAAGTTATTTACTTGTTCGGCCCACGTTGGTTGTATCGTGCAAACTGTCTATTCAGGTTTCAGTCGCGCCCTCATGCTTTGTAATGCGACCTGACTGGACGTTTTACGAGCTGATTTTGGTTAGCTTTCCAGGCATAGTCGGAATTTTGGAACGGTAATTAATAAGGCGAAAGTAAAAAAACCTGCTGTCCTTAGGACGACAGTCTTGTAGCCTGTAAGATTAAGGAGGGACAAAGTATTTATATTTCTTTTTAGTATTTTGAGTGCTTTTACCGCCTTTTTAAATGACATGATATAATAGACTTATGATGACTCAGTTAAAAGAACCTGAATTTTTAAAAATAGTTGAAAAACCCTGTCGCTCTCCTTGCAAACGCAAATTTCGCTGTTTATCTTCCAGGTTAACCTTGAAGCGGAGTCTCAGAAAACATATCATATGTACTGAATTCTTACGCAATCACTACTTTAATTGTATATTGTGGTTGTGTAATTGTAATTGTTATAAGAAAATCCAGTTCAAATGAACTGCTAGGAATGGTCGTCTTGTCAAATCTGTCTAATCAAACAGTCTCTTAGAGTAATAAATTATTTCAACTTAGGTAAGGATGGTTCACTGAGCGAACTCTTTATGACAGCTTAAGAATTCTCATTTGGTAGTTGCAATGCAGCGGTGGGTGAATGTGTTCCATGTCTATCCATATCAAATACTGGACTGAAGTCAGTACTTTAAGAAGTACGAAGAATAATGTCTGTCACAACTCAGATATCTAGATGCACAAAATCCAACCCTACATTATCGAGAGGTATTTCCTCCTTGACACAGCTGTCAAAAGATCTCAGTGTCGGGCATCCAAACGATTCTACAATTGGTTCAAAAGAGCCACAATCTTTAACAACACTTATCCGAATACCCACAGTTTGTGAGAGTCTGGAGCTCTGATTGCTTCTTAGGACTGAGTTTTCCGCAAACCTGAAGTTCATTTAATTTCACAATTTGCGCCCTTAGGTTACGCTTTAAGTCTCGTCTCTATCACATTGTAATTTTTCCAAATCTTTACACACAAAAACTAGAAGGAATTACTACGATGGATTTTAATGTTGATTTTCATACGGCATAATTCCAAGATACTTCACTCATGTCAGGCTGCCGGCTTTTGAATAAGCCTCTTCTCGGCCGTCTGAAAAAAATCACACACAATAAAACACAGCTACTTAACTAGTGTGATTTTTCCCTTTGGTCTTCAGTGCACATATAAATTTAAATATGGGTTTTAGAAAGTATGCAAACGCACATTATTTTCGTGTTCATTTGACATATAATTGCATCTTCTTCAAATTGTACACTCAAAGAATGGATAGATTTAGGTTTTAAAAGACTGTCGCAAGTGCCACATAATTTAAGAGCCGACGAGAATTTGTACCTTTGTTTAAAGTTCCGAAACTGCATGCTGCATCCTTTCAGTGCAAGGAAAACCATGCGTTTTTTGCGCTGTTACCAAGATGCCATATAGGGCCTAAAAATTTTGTAATAGGTGTGGACCATATTACATGCTTTCTAATCAGCATCAATAAATAGACAAATACGACACTATAAAAATGGGCATTTTACGGTCTTAAATTCCATTTCGAACATTTTAAGATCTCAATATACCCCGTCTTAGGTAAACACTTGAAGAAACCCAGTTTTCTATCTTGCCGTGACTGAAACATTTTTGGGCAATGCTACATGATGACCAATCCTGTAACCCCGACCACGTGATCTCTTTTAACCAAACACACATTTCAGAATTTTGGCTATAATTTTGCGAGATAAGTTAAATACCATACTCGTACTTTCAACCCCGGTATACTGAGACTTAAACTACTTCCGGAACGAATTTTAAACTAGATGGGATAGTATTACATCAAGGTCTTAAATAAACCAATATATGTTTATCTACCAAAAGAGAAATTAACATGCTCCTGCCATTCATTATATCATTTTTACTTACGAGTTCTGTCACTTAATGTGGAGGAGAAAGAATTAACTCTCTTGGTATTTTTGGATACGAGGTAGGCAACTAAGATCCTCTATACTACTGACAGCTGTTGTTGAGAAACGTTAACTCACGGTAAGAAACAAAGCCCATGAGTCACAATAGGCAGTAATAATCACCAAATTACTCCAAAATTACGGACAAACTATCCCATGTGAGTTAGAATTTTTGAAAGCATATACGGTAGGCAGGTATATATCTGCCCTCATAGGTACATTCTTGTGGAGCGTCTACTTCTTTGGTTTAGATGGCTTGATATGCATTTACAATAGTCTCTAAGTCCATTGACGTTAACAGCGTTCCCTTGCGCCTGTTTAACTTGTCAGATATTCGGTTACACTCAAATCGCTGCAGATCCAACTATACACTGCCAGTTTAAACGCTAGTGGAGAAGTGAATTAAGGCAAACATCAGGTATATGCGCAGGGTAGGAAAGTGCCAACTGGGCAGTTCCCCGTAGTTTTTTCCTACCCCGCACATATATATAATCCTTACCTGAATTATTTTCCAGAAGCTAGAATGTTTAATAAGCCTAAAAATAGAACTTTGGAAGAAAAGCGTTTTTAGGAATAACATGTAGTTCAAGCCAAATGATCTCATCATAAGATGATTATTAGTGAAAAGGGTTAAACAATGTTGTAGGGTTAAAGTTAGGACACGGGAATAGGCACCCTTTTTGAAATTAGTTCAAGGCCACCTGTAATACGGGTGGTGCTTATTGCCGTGTTCCAGCGCCACAGTAAGCTCAGCTCAGGAAAATACATACTTCTAAGGCTGCATGTCAACGCTTCATCCCTGAAAAAGGTGTGAAAATAAGTTTAATCCGCGCGTGCATTTACTTAGCCTGAAAGGCAGTCGACTTTTAGATATTTGTATAACTTGCTACAGCATTGAATCGACGTCACAGGGTCTCCACCTCGTTGAGACACCTCACCACCTGCTTTAATTTAGCCCTGCTCTCCTTTCATTTGGCACCCTGCGCGCTTGGAACACAAAATTTTTATGATTTCAAATTGGTCGTTTGATTATTAAGAGTAATTATATCTACGTATTGTCTTGTCCTGGCAACCATACCTAAGCTCGAAGAGCAAATACAGGCTATTAGTTAGGTCAAGGCAGTCAGTTTTTCAGTGTCTCTTTCCAAGAATCACTTAAGCAAATGAACAGGGAGCGAAGATGATCCAGAAAGTCAGTGTATTCATGTAACTACGCGTCGTATTTTGTAAAGACTTTCCACGCCTCTGTCGGCGCGACGTACTTTCAGGATAGACTTTCGGAAATACTGATCTTATAAGATCAACTATGCAGGGGGACTCGTTTCATACCGGAACTGGGAACTGAACTGACGTTTTTCACTGCTTCCGCCAAATCTACCACTCAGGATGCCAAATCTGCTTGTAAATTGAGCTCTTGACAATTCTTCATCCCGCTCCATTTGCACACATGGACATCTAGCTTCTATCTCCGGGAGTAAAAACCACATCGAAACTCTTGTCAAAGAGGGTATATTTGAAGCTAAACGATAGGGTCACGAAAAAGGGGTGCAAACCGGAGTCATGCGTGATATTACTAAAGGTGTCACAACTTCCGATCTGATGACGCCGGCAGGAAAGCGGATGAGATCGGTCTTTATCTCATCTAGAAAAAGGTCTTGCGACTCGTCGTTTTGAAATTTTCATCTAGAAGAAAGCAAAACAGTTTTTTTATGCAGAAAGCCTCTTCGGTTCTCCAACCCTGTTTACAATTCATAAATGCATGCTTTGAATATAAGTGAGCGGGAACCCTTCGCTTACTGTGTTTAACGCTAATTTGTTTTGCAAAGCTAAATGGTTAAGAAATGGAAAGTCATATTCAGAACTGTGTGACCGTTGGGCAGTTATACTTGCAAATATACACTGCATCTTGTTCCGAATGCCTCGATAATTATTGCTTTGTCTGAGCTATTGTCAAAAAATATTTGAAATTCACAGGCATTTTGTGACTTTTTCTCATAGGAGGGCGTTTGCAGATCAAGTTGCGGAACATTTACCCCCATAGTAGGGCCAACATGAAATGTCTTTGATAAACTAACAGTAGCAAAGAAGTCCCCAACATTTTAGATGGATGTATTTGTATTGATGATTGACAGAAGGAATATATGTTGCAGTTTACTTTATAATGTTTTGAATGTACTCAACTCGTCTGGCGAAGATTGTTCAGAACATGACTTTACGCTCGGTCATAATTTTGATACAAATCACTGCTGCACACTCATTCACTCTAAAGTACTAGATGCGTAATATGAAAACAAAGTTAATTTGACCATACACACAGAAAGGGGATCAACCATTAGAGCAGAAAACCCTTTCGTCCATTGGCTGCACTGGGTTAAGAAATGTGGCCACCATTTTCCCCTCTGATTTATGGTCTATAAAAATTAATTTTAGGATAATACGCCGGGGATACGGTTTTTTAAGTAAATTTAAAAATGCCCATGAAGTTTTATTCAATAACTGCGAAATACCTATCGTACATTTCATGTTAATACTAGTACCACACTTTTACATGAAAGAGAATCCCCATATTTCTATTACTTGCAATAATTTCAATTTCAGCCATTTAATTTGCCGGGTCTCTGGGAAACCTTCCCGTGCTTTTTACAAGATTCCGCCTATTTAGTTTATATCTGTGATTTAGCAGGATTTACTTTCCTACACTAGAGCTATAGATATAGAAAATGAAGAATGTACGGGAATTTTGCAGAGTTCATATGGGCGTTTGAGTCGAAATCCTGCTGTAATGAGCTGACGGATCAGGCAGATGCATTCGCACGGGAAGGAAACATGTCTGGAAATACTGTTTTGCAAAAATGTCAGACAAGTAGAAAAGACAGAATATGCCCTGAGGCGTACTCACCCTTTTGCTTTTTATCTCCAAGAGCCTTTATCATCTCCTTCATCTCATTGAACTGAATCTGTATTCGCTCCTCGAGGGCATAAGTGCTTCACAAGCGGACAAGGAGAAACACATTAGGGTAATAAAATGTTTTTCTTTTTCAAGCTAATTCGGTGAGACGTGGTCATGTAGCCCCATCTGATGGATACGATACTGCCGGGGTTATGGTTAGGGGTTGCGTTAGACGTTATGATTAGGGGTTAGGGTAAGGGCAACTATTTCTTAACTACGTAAAGTACAACCGCGCTTTCCCAGCAGTTTTTCTTTTGCATGCCTTTGCTTGACCTCGTCACCACCTGTGCGTTCCCCAGTTCAACCTGTAAAAGCTCTACTGCCGCCAGTCCCGTATCAGAGGTGGCTGGGGTTTGTTTACCTCAGGTGGGGCTACATAACCACATCTGACCGCTAGCTCATCATTCATCACAATGATGCTTTTGCACGTCTTCCGGTAAAAAAAAGTTTAAAAAAAGGTTGGCAAGGAAAAAAACGGAATTTACAATTGAGTAGACTGCGCTTAGTTCATTCAGTGCCAAAAATTAGTCCTCAGTCATTAGAATCAAAACCGAATGCGTCCCCGACGAAATCATTGGCGGAATTTGGTAGCCCACTACGTTTTTGACCTAGATTTCGGGTCTTCACTGGGTCGAATTATTTCAGTTCCCTAGTTTTTATTACAGAAACTCACCATCTTAACCGCTTACCATTCGAAAAAAGTAAAATCCTTCTGGAAAATCTTCTGGGTTTTGCATAATAATATTCTATCTTCAGGACTTTCACTTTCAAAAGCTTTGATTCAGTCTATTTTAGTAGCACGAGCAGGTATTTTCATTTCGCATTTGCCAAGCTCTGCTGTACTTCTGTTGGCGAGACGCGAGAGTGCGGACCCCAAGGCACAACGGGACGAGTGAGCTCCACAACACGATCGGTGAACGCTCTTCTACCGCTGTATATCTACCCGACCGCAACCAGCAGGGCATCGAGCCAGTGACTCAGTGGTTAGCGCGTTCGACCTCTAACCAACGGGTCGCAGGATTGAGCCTCAGGTGTTTTAAACCGGGGGGTTTAGTGCGACTAGCCGATAACCTCCAATATTCTAGAAATGATCATCCCAGTCGCCCTTTGGTAATTTCTTACTATTGTAATAGTCTCAAGGAGACAGCCGAGGGCAAATCATTAGTAGACTACCTGATAGCCGGCAAATTGAACGAAAATAGGAGCCACAGTCCGCAATCATCCGTTTATGTCTGTTTAATTCCCCACACTAATGCTGTGCCGTCTGTTGTCTGGTCTGTTTAAGATGTGTATTTAGATATCGCACCCAGAGCCTGCAGTAGAAGTGGTTCTTTTGATAGAAAAACGTCGGCCACTGAGTCCGTTAGCGTCTGCTTCTATCCTGATAGCGAAAATAAAACAGCATCAACGTTCTATAGTCAGCGTATGCATCCTGATGAATTAAGTGGGGCTACGCTGCAGTGAGATACTGATCTAACTATATTGTATTAGCTGTAGAAGGCGGATTTTCAGTACAGGTCGCGTTCGTAAAGAAAAGTCATTATGTGAAGCATTTGTAAAATAAATTATCAAAATGTACGTAGTATTGGCTATTTTTATAGGTTAAAATGTGTGTTATATATGACTCTAAAACTATATCCCCTAAAAAGTTGACATTTAAAGAGACATGTTAGCCTGATACTAAAATGAGGACTTAATCTGTTCTATGAGAAATGGCCGCGCTTTGAATAGTTTCATTGCAGAGAACCACTGCTTACTGCATATAATAATGTGAAAAATTATAGAAGTATTATCAGCCCACGGGGATGAATGTATGAACAGGCGATGCCGCTCCGTTAACATTTTTTTAGACGACCCGAGCTCCAGCAAATATTAGAGAACTAGGCTATTTAAAAGTGCTCCGGGACAATTGTCCTAGATAACGAAAGTTTCCAGGATATAATTATTCGATAAAATACAGACCTTTGAGGAGAATCGGGAGCATTGAGGAAAATGATCGCTACTTAAGTGGGGACGGGGTTCCAGAGGTCCACCTGTGGACCAGCAAATTCTGCAGATATCGATCGCTCGAAAATGTATTTAGGCTTTTTATAGACTATACCCAATGGTTCTCCGTACTGAATTCGAGAATAGTCCGTATCAGTTTGATAAGGCATTTTTGTTTTTAGTGAAATGTCGCAAGTTAAGACTCTTCTGATTTTATCGATTTTCCTCCAAAGAAGAGATCTGCCCTTGCGATATTAATCCCTTTATTTTATTTAGCGTGCCGAGCTCAGATATGAATCTGCAGAGCCCGCTTCAAAGAAACCAGGTATAAGCAAGTGGACTCTTGTCGAAATTAATTGATATTTTGGCAGATTTTGAATAATTCATATTGACCCAACTGTGAAAAACTCGGCGCCTCGGTGGGATTTGAACCCACGCAGTAAGGGGGAAGGCTTTAGTACAGCCAACGCTCTAACCACCTGAGCTACGAGGCCCCGCCGGACGACGCGAGTTTTATCACACTTGGGTCAAGTTACCCGCCCAACCTACTGCAACGTCTGGAATCCACCAAATCTGATGCAGTAAGTTGACTGCCCAAGCAGGATTTCCTAAGTAATTCACCTAGAATCCACCAGATGACTACTAGGCTCACGTAATTCATTGATATTTTGGCAGATTTTGAATAATTCATATTGACCCAAGTGTGATAAAACTCGCGTCGTCCGGCGGGGCCTCGTAGCTCAGGTGGTTAGAGCGTTGGCTGTACTAAAGCCTTCCCCCTTACTGCGTGTGTCCGAATCCCACCGAGGCGCCGAGTTTTTCACAGTTGGGTCAATATGAATTATTCAAAATCTGCCAAAATATCAATGAATTACGTGAGCCTAGTAGTCATCTGGTGGATTCTGGGTGAATTACTTAGGAAATCCTGCTTGGGCAGTCAACTTACTGTATCAGATTTGGTGGATTCCAGACGTTGCAGTAGGTTGGGCGGGTAACTTGACCCAAGTGTGATAAAACTCGCGTCGTCTGGCGGGGCCTCGTAGCTCAGGTGGTTAGAGCGTTGGCTGTACTAAAGCCTTCCCCCTTACTGCGTGGGTTCGAATCCCACCGAGGCGCCGAGTTTTTCACAGTTGGGTCAATATGAATCTTGTCGAAATGTTGGAGACGCCGGGGTTCATAAAACAGCGGCCCATGTTTTTAGATGTGTTTTCGGACTGAAAGTTACTTGGTCGAATTTGCTAATCCAGTAGGTATGGAACCTACTCCAAAATATATATATTTGTCTAAGTAGATTGGCATCTTACTGAACTGACTTCTGTCTACTCGTGTAAAAGTTTGCAAGAAATGAGCGACACCCATAAAGTTAATGTGTATTATGTAGGTTTGATGTCTGTTGAAATTAAGTCATATGTTCAGTAAAAAATAAATAAAAATTCCTTTATTACACGTGGTTTATAGGAAGTTGAAATCACACTGTTTTTTAAAGTTGCAGAAATTAAAAACTAGAATACTTTCCTTCGTTGAGTACAAAGTTCAAAGAAAATGCAAATAATTATAGAAATAATAGAATAAAAGTATTTAATTTATTGTCCCAAAACCTGACCGACTTAATGCAGACGTCGATCAAATGCTATAAAAAATTGAAGCAAGTAGGAATTTAGTTTTGTATGATGTTTGCGCAGTTGACTGACTCCAGATTCAGCATTTCACCACGTATTGTGCTATTTAAAAGTGCACTTATTAAACTGGTCAGTCTTTGAGAGACGCATTTGTACCAAAACTCTCTAGGGTAAAATCAGAAAAGCTAAAAGTGAATGTGAGTAAAACCAAAGTTGAGCTGCAGATGGACTCCAAGAAAACAATGACTTATGAGTCCAAATGCCTCCGGTATAACGAAAGACTCTTTTGAACTAGGAATACCGGAAAGATATGTCTTTTCTTCCAGCTCTAATTTGAATGGTACTTAATGGATGTTTATGTCTGCTCCATTTGAACCATGTATCTTTGTAAGCTAGTTAGGTCTTCTTTTTTGGAATTTGGCAGAAATTTTGCTTTTTAAATTTAAACCAAGAAAATGAGAGACATAAAACCCGAAGGTGGCCTTGTTCGCTGTCGTATAGTGTATGACATTCGTGAGCGAAACAACGCAAGACCTGACACCAAAACAATCTATGCTGTGTATTCGAAATCTTTAGATGTCCAGAAGTACCTTTGTGATTTTCAAAATTCCAATCGAGCGATTTAAATCTTTTCAATTTCCCTTGTCGGGGAAGACCAGTGGAGTTGGATAACGACCCTTTGGACGTACGCAAAAGCAGTTGGCGGCTAGGTCTATTGAGCACCCACCCCGATGGCTTCTAAAGCAGGAGAACAAAATCTCGAGTTCCTCCATTACAGAACACCTGCTTAATAATGATCAATCCGGAGACCTCAAAACATTCTTCTGAGTACTTGTCCGGGCACGAGCAACTCGGACCTTTTGTTGCCTGGAGGCGGCCAATATACTGTAGATGTGCAAACTCATGAAATGTCAACCAAAATTTCAAAATGCGTTCTCCTTTCGAAAAGATAAATTAAGTGGCGTTGTTAAACTTATCATGATGCAGCATAAATCTATAATGATCCAGTTACCTCAAGGTGTCAGCTTTCGAAAGAATTTATTTTCGGCTGCATGCAAGATCTATACTCTGCAAAAAATGACTACTTAAGTATCATGCAATTATCTCATTGATTTTCGATGCCCTAGAAAATTCAATTATATTTCATGGAAAAAATGCATAAAAATATTCATTCTCCTACTCACTCGGTAGAAAATCACGTCTTCTTCCAATTTCATACTCAAAAGAAGAGTATAACTCGGTTTTTAAAAAACTTTTCTAATTCCCGAATAATTTTGAACCCGACCCGCCGTTACACTTGCATTCAGGGTTTCAAAACTACAAGCTGTAAATTTTCCGTGTACGGAAAACCATGCATTTCTCTACGGTGTTAAGAGGAGACCATATGAGGTTCATAAAATTAAGCAGTGGATTTGAGCAATATTGCTAACTTTACAAGCCACATTTGTAAATGCAGATAGATGACGTTTCATGAACGGCCATTTAACGGTATTAAAAAATCTCACAATTAGAAACTTTTGTAAACCGAATTATACTTTTTTTGAGTATGAAATTGGATGAAGACGTGATTTTCTACCGAATAAGTAAAAGAATGAATATTTTATGCATGTCTTCCATGAAATGTAATTGAATTTGCAAGGGCATCGAAAATAAATGTGAAAATTGCATGATACTTAAGTAGTCATTTTTTGCAGAGTATAGATCATGCATACAGCCGAAAATAATTTCTTTCGAAAGCCGACACCCTGGGGTAACTGGATCATTATAGTTAAGCTACATCATTATTAGTTTTACAACACTACTTAATTTATCTTTTCGAAAGGAGAACGCATTTCGAAATTTTGGTTGACATTTCATGAGTTAACACATCTACTGTACGGCGGGCGAAACCAGACTTAGGTAAACAACTGGAATATGTGTTCAACTTAACACTGCCATGATAATCTCTAGCTCTATGATTTTCACATTGCCCTTTCTCTTTGCTAGTTAACGTTTTTCCCACTATTCTTCCCGTATTGTGCCTAAGCTACTTATTTTATCGATTAGTCAGCATTGCCTAAAGACCATGACCTTGCTGTTTCTGCATCAATTTTCTGCACGAATTCAAACTGCCATGTTCTTTACACTCGCTATTTATGTTATGAAACGACAGGACGCAGCTGATGAGCCGTCACGCAATTCGTTAATGCCAACAAATCCTGCCTTGCACGCTTGTCTCAGCATCGCTACTGTTTACGCAGATCCTCGTCGGGCAAAGAGAGAACTACCAAGAAACCCAGATTTATAATGATCTACTATCCAATAGCAATTTCTAGAGGATGGGGAAGTCAGTAGACAGGACGTTTGGGTCAAATGCTAACTTTAGGTGTAAAACAAAGCCCAACTTTCCCTAACTGGCGACTTATTGTTGAGTAGACAGAGAGGGGAGCCATTCCTTAATCGAACTTTCACTGGAGATAAGAAAGATCCTTTACATTATCAGCAAACACAAACGCCAATGACTTTACACAAGTCAGATGCCAATTACTACACCGAGCTTAGACCAATATCTACAGAAACCTTTTCTGTGTTTGGTAGAGTACTGCTGGCAACATGTTCGAAGTATAACAGCAGGCCACACCTGTGAACAATTAGAACGATTGAATCAAGCTACTGTCGTTATAAATCCAACCCTAATCAACAGAAAATATGACATTCTGCTGCATGACGACGCGAGACCTCACTCGGCGCAACAGAATCAGAAAAAGATCCTAGATTTATGGCGGAAACGTTGTCCACCCCATTAACCTTTTTATCGGGCAAGTGATTGTCGTTTCTTCAGATTTCTACAGCACTTTCTGGGCGGAAAAACCATGCGAAATAACGATAACTCCAAAACTAAGTCTTTGGAATCCTCTGCATCAAACTCAACTGGTTTTTTTTAAAGAGATTATTGAAAACTTTGCTTCGATATGGGGAACCGGGATTAATAACGAGGGTGATTATGCAACAAGTCAAAAATGGATTGTTTTCAGTAAACACTTATCTTGTTATTTATGAAAAATGACATTAATTTCCTCTAAGACTAGTGTGGTAGTACATTAGCCGCAATCGATTGCCAGATTGCGGTTAGATTACGAATCACCACTACAGGGTCATTTTTATCTTAAGATAATCCGATCTTAACTGGTTTCCTCAATAGCCTATTTATGCATAGACGAACATCTTTATAGAAAATTTGTCGCAGTTAGCCTCTTGGTCAAAGTTTATCGTCATTCTGCTCTCCTAAATTAATTGCCTTTAAATCATCTCTGAGGAAACCTTCTTGTATTTTTGGCACTTGGTAATAACCCTTTTTGACTTAGTTAATCATGGGCGTAACAAGGCAAATCAAAAAGACGTCGATGATTAGTAACTCAAGTTATCATAAGAGGAAATAAATCGGAAATTACCCAGTTACTTCCTTGAATTTGGCAGACTGTTGAACAGGACTGTAACCGGCGTCACTTGTATCGTACGCCTACCAAGAAGACATCAATTAGTAGGAATAGTAGGAAACACTGGCTGTCATCCTCGATAAAAAGGTAAGGATTAAGTGCAGTTTGGTAAAACGTATTGTTTGCCGGACAAGCTTCAGCTAGCGCGCCACATATGACATAAAAGCAGATGCCTAACATCAACTGTGGCAAGACTGATGAAAATTTTTGCTTCTCTCCACAACCGCTAATTGCCCATCACTATTCCTTTTTCGTCGTTCAAAATTTGCCTGACACAAAATCGCTCGTGCGTGTGTGAGACATTTATCGACTTTTCCTGATTGCAGGACAGAGTATGGATACTTTGCCCTGACTTGGGGCGTCAATCTGCAGCACGCATCGGCGCCGCCAAGCCGACACGAAAATCAATAACACAGACGTATTTCGGGTAGCCACAAGGGAGGGTGTAATGACCATCGGCTTTAGAAATGTTCATTCTGGATTCCATCATAAAAGTCAACGGCACCTCTAGGTGTGTGAAACAGTCGACATTGTCGATTCATGTCCTTCAACATTTTCTTGACTTTTGCCATTTTTGGCTGGACACGCGAATGAGGACGCCCCTTACCAAAGGCGGCCTTATGTTAACCTTAATGGAAGTAGCTATAGCCGTGTCCTAACTCTAAGCCAAACCCTAACCCCAACCCGTCTAACTTTAGAATTAGCACTAACTCCCATAAACCTAATCTCGTTTGCATTAAAAGAGAAAAAAACATTTAATTAAGAAGGCCCCTTTTTCTGAAGAGGAGCCATCATGCTTACCCGAGCCGTTTTCCTGAAATTAGAATTGCTCTTCCATGTGTGCATCACGAGATGAGCGTAGAGGCGTCTAGGAACAGCCCTTTCAATGGAATTGTACCAATTGACAATCTGGGCGATAAGTCGGACAGTAGCCTCCTTCCGGACGGCATCGATATCGCCAACCGCAAGACCGACCTGGAAATAAAGGCAGGAATATCAACAAATATCCCAGGAAAGTGGCAGCAATAATGAAAAGGTCGATAAAGGGATAGATATGAGAAAACTGGTGTTTGGCCACCAAGAGATGTCTTTGATCCCTTCAGAGTTTGGTTTAGTAGTAGTATTTGTGAGCAAGATGACTGAAGGTTGCGTAGCCGGGCAGAGAGTTGATGAATTGCGAAAAACTCGCTAACAGTCATCAAATAGTGAGTGACCCATCTCGTTAAAGACCAAATGATACTCCGCCTTCTAACATAAGATTTCAAGAATACATGATTTTTTTTCAAAAAGGTACAAGAAAGAATGCTTTTGCGCATGCTTTATGGTAAATATGTTTTAATTGTTAAGGACACCAAAAATCGATAAAATAAGTGGGTTTTTTATCGATTGAGATTTTTGCAGGTGGTCAAAAAGAAATGTATTCAGAAGCCAAAACCCCGGAGTGTATGACGTATCATGGGATTTCGCTGCAAGATAATAAATCTTACAGCCCCACTTGAGCACCTTTTCCCAATCGAAAACGTATTTCAGCATTTCGGTTAACATTTCGAGAGATTGGTCACTACAAATTAACGCTGTTTCTCAAAGTTATTTCGTTTGAAGCGTATACCTAACTGAATATTCTCTGCCGCTTCTGATGAACGCTTTTCGAACAGTCTCTACATTTCCAACATTTCATCTGATTTTTTACTAATCTTATGTCATAAGACGAAAGCAAGCAGATAAAGTCGGTTTTAGTGAGAACAGGGGCAGAGGCGACATTCACTATATTTCCGCCACCTTCGATTTCTCGTCCTCCCCTTTATCTCACTAGCCAACCAGAAATGCAGCCAACGAGAAATCGCGGCGTTGTGGCATGCATCGCCCGTGTTTGATTCTAAGAATAATAAGGGTTTGCATTTCCATCATGCCTGACTTCGCGTGCTTCGTTGCCCGACAGTTAGACCGTCGTTACCGACGGTGTCCACCGTGTTCTCCACAACAGGGGGAGAGCAGGGACGGCGACTTGTGCGTCTGCCGCACTTTCTTCCCCGCCACCACATGGGTTCGGTGTCGTGGGTGTCGAGAAGATCTGAGGCGGGAGAGGAGGTAGGTGGCTGGTACGACGAGAACCCGCCCTTGGTTGCACCTCCGCACATCCTGATCCACAGTGAGATTTATGTTGTTACTAAGAGGCCAATTTGACTTGTGTGAGAATGCTCCGATTTTCGTTGTTTGAATCAGAGGTGGAGATAGAATCAGAGACTTTTTATGCTGAAAATATTTTCTCCTTAATTTGTTTTCTATTAATAATTGGCATTATTTCGCCACATCAAACTTATACACATCCTTTTATAACGGTTGTGTTAATTAAATGTCCTGCAGCTCACAGCCGGACAATGTAAGATACTTCTTAACGTCCTAATCACAAACGTCCTGAACCGTCGAGAGTATTTTTAGTAGTCTCAAAATGCTTTCATGACCTTCCCATACCAAATGTTCTTCCAAAGTCGAATTGTTTTAACAGAACATTTATAAAACTTTTATGTCCTACGATAACTCTAATGATTCCATGGTAACTTTTTACTTTACACATTTATGTCACATATATGTTGGTTTTATACACGATGGTATTAGGGTCGGAATGACGTTTCTTCAAGCCTTTGATGAGGACGATTTTCAAACTTTGATCCTTGGCTGTTTCCATGTTGATGTTCGCCGATCTGCAAAGAAACGACTAAGACGTGCTCACAAGAGCATACGGCGAAGTGGCTGTGTCGTGAAAACAACGCACAATTTACCCACTTGTTACCTAAACCCTGCATGGCCATTTCCTTGCTAAAAATAATGTTTGGGATGAGTGTGCAGTCCGCGTATTCCAATGCAGTATGTGCGACAGACCATTTGATACTGACAGGTCAGGACTCCATAAAACCATGGAGATGTGAATTTTGATAAGAAAACGAATGTGCATACCGTGAAGGGAGGTAAACTTCTACTATAACATGTTATGTATTTGCCAGGCAGCTAAGTAAACGCGTTTTCGACAAAATTTTGCCTGTCTGGTTTGTCATATGGTCAGACATTTCGGTGGAAAATAGGTAGATCAGTCGAAGGAGAACTGATCCCCTTCTGAACGCTTTTGCCGTATTACCCCAGAATTGGAATATCTGCAATGAAAAGTACCTAGGAAGCATGCCCAATTTATAGTGTCATTTAACTCTTCCGTTAGAAAAAAAACCTGTTTCAGTGCCTGACCAAATATGCTAGAAGAAAAGTGATAGAATTTTCATTCGTATAAAAGAGAGAATAGAACGAGGTTTCCACTGGAAAGAGGAACTTTTTGCAGGCTACTTCTCGACGGTGGATCACCCGGCGACGTATCAAACAAATGATTTTTTCAAGCATTTCATCCACTTTTCCGGTCATAACAACGAAGAGCTATTATTCCCCCAGTCCGCATCCTACGGACAGGCAGAAGGACAAGTCACCGGTCCAGATGAATGCCATTTCACGTGCAGTAGACTGGATTGTTCATAGTAGTTGAGGCTTGTTCAGCAGGATGGGAGAGAACAGACCAGTAGGGTTCGGACAGTCGCCACTTCTACCTTCAACCGCCTAGTAGAAGCCAGTCATAGACTGGACCTCAGTTATGTCTTTATTCAATCTACAGAGTATTGTGGAAGCGCCAAAAATTGCCACTTAAGGGCTTTCCAGCAAACACGAAAGCGACTGCAATCGCCTTCGTTCTTGCACTGCGATTGCCGTGGTCACCGCTGACCTGTCAAAGGCGCGTAGACAAATGGGCGCCGGTATATTCTTATCTGTTTCCCCTCCACACTTCTTTTTCATCCCAGAAACTGTCTACTGTATTCATTTGCGGTGCCCAATCAGACATTGACTCGCTACATAGCCGAACAGGTCTGCTGAAGAGTGATCGTAAATATTTTAACCTGCCGTCTTCTGTATCCTTCAGAGGGGACACTTGCCGGTCGACGGTTTGTGAATTTTAACTAAATGACAAATTTTGTCCAGGTAAACCATCAGGACATCCCTAGACTTCTGTTAAAACCTGGAGCTACCAAATGATTCACTTTCACTGAGCTTTTTGACCCTGGAGCAATCCCAGGAGAGCTTCCAGTAATAAAGCAAAGGCGTTCACACCAGGAGGTTTGTGAGGATCATTGGCGAGCAGAGAAGGAAGGCGATGAACATGACGAGGGTGACTTCCGGGAAGTGCAGAGTGATTTGATAGTCATCCGTCAGTGGGTTGATAATGGTGTCAATGAAATTGAAGTCCCCCAGCGACATGGAGAGGACATTGAGAAGCGTCAGTTGTGGGTTTTGGAACGCCTGCAGGGTTGAGCTTATGGGCTGCATAAAGGTTTCGTTGGTTTTCAGATGGTGGATGAGGCGGTAAGGCGTGAAGCAGTCCTTTAGCGCCGCCTGTTCTGCTGCAGATTTGCTGAAAAAGTCCTAAAATAAAGTCAGGGGATTGGTTGAGCCGCTCGCCAGCTAGGCGCATTGAATTGCAGTAGGCATTTCGTCAAGTCAACGGGGTGATCAGTCCAGTACGTGGCCTATCTCGTGCAACTTGGCAACAGAAAATGGCTTGAGAATTTTCGGATAGCTTAAATATTTTGCATTTTGTTCTCTTGACCGGTTTCTTTAAAGAAATGCTTCTATGCAACTTTATCAAGCAAAATATCAATATATTTGGGCAAACATATACGTTATGATATACAAGGGCAATCTTGGGCATGTCCTTGACTCTGGCTAAGTATATGAGTTTTTTTCTTTCAAAGTAGTATACTCTTAAGGGTTTCTCCAAAAAGTCTTCCGCACTTGAGAATTGAGTTTTTTGCCCTCTGCTGACCGCAGAAATCGGCTTGTTAACACGGAGGCTACTTTTGAGAACGAGACGTTTCATCGATCTCTAAAGATCGAAATAGCAAATTTGTGCGATTCCTTGCCCAAAAGTGCTGCAATAATTCATACAGTCAATTTTTCGTTGGAATGGACCGAAATTCCTTTGCCACTCCAAAAGTATACGTTCAGATACCAGATCAATATTTACCGATTAGGCATTTTCAGTTTCAAACATATAAGGACTTGCCGAAGCAGGCAGGCAGGGCAAAAGTTATTGGTGCCCAAAAATTTCGCGAAGACTCGTCAGCTGCGTCCTGTCGTCAGTGCGTCTGCAGAGTACTATGGATACGTCAAAGACTGCCACAATTAACGTTCACTCTCTTTTAAACAGCCAATTACAGTAGGTGGGCTAACTCATGAAATGTTGACTGAAATCCTCAAGTGCGTTTTCGTTTTAAAATTATTAAGTTTGGTTGTAAAACTAACCATCTTGTTGCGCAATTCTACGGGAATTCAGTTACCTCAGAATGAACTTCTTTTTGGCTGCATGCGACAACTATACTCTGTAAAAAATCTACTTAAATATCATGTATTTTTCTCATTATCTGTTGATGCCCTTAAGAATTCAATTAAATTTCATGGAACGCATGCAGAAAAATATTCATTCTTTTGCTCATTTGGTAGAAAATGACGTTTTCCTTCTATTTCATACTCAAAAGTGTAAACTTCGGTTTTTAGACATTTTTGTTTCACTCACTGTACCCCGCCCTATGTGACTGTATTGGCCTGATGAGAAATAACCGAAAGGAACGTTCACTCGCCTGTAATGTAAAACCTAACTTTTATCGATTTCTTCAATTCTCGAATAATTTTTAACCCAACCTGCCACTAAACTTGCATTCAGGGTTTAAAAACCACAAGCCGTATATCTCTCCTGTACAGAAATCCATACAATTCTCTATGGTATAACGAGGAGACCATTTATATTTCATAAGATCTGGCAGTGGATTTGAGTTACATCAACAACTGTAAAAGCTACACTGGTAAATTCAGTAAGAATATATGGCTAGCCTAACCTTTTCATGGTATCATTTAGCTCCGTGACATTCACTTACCCTTTCTTTGTGTTTGTTCACGCTTTTTTGACTGTTCTTCCCATACTGCGTTAGAGTTACTAATTTTATCGTTTACCCGGCAATGCCCAAAACCTTAATCTTTCTTCTGCATTGATTTTCTACAGGAATTCAAATCTGTTGTATTCTTCCCGCTTGTTATTTATAGTATGAAGCAACAGGACGTAGTTGACAAGCCGTCGCGGATGTTTTCGGTGCTGATAAATCCTGCTTTGCTTGCTTGCTTCAGATTCGTACCGGGACAAAATTCTCCAGCTATAAAGCTTTGCTTTTTGTGCGGTTTTCTTTTGACGTGTACGTAATTTAGAAATGAAACGAGCTAAACATTTACAGTTTCAACAAAATAGCCGTATTCACATTGCCAATCTGTCGTACATTCATAATTGTAGAACGAAGCCTACAAGTCAACAAAGATAGCGGAAATGGACGCAATATCTATCGAGGGGCATGCTCTTGCGTTCGCGGAGGAAAAATATCTGCATATTTTAGCACCGTGAAAGAAAAGGCCTGGTGTTATATTCCTTTTTGACTTGCCCACAAAAAAATGTAAAGTACACAGGCTTCTGTTAGGGGAGGTCAGTATTAAAACACTGTTCAAAGGCAATTTATTAGAGGATGTTTTCTAAATGCTCGAAAGCACATTCGTTGTTGGCTTTTGTTGAGGATATTTATTTTACTTGACGATGAGATTTCATGTTTTATGTGACCCAAACGACCTTCAGAATGAAAATAAATGCCTAAATAATCCATATTGGCCCAACTGTGAAAAACGCGGTATCTCGGTGGGGTTCGAACCCACGCAGTAAGGGGAAGGCTTTGGCGCAACCAACACTCTAACCACCTGAGCTACGAAGCCTCGCCGGATGACGAGAGTTTAATCATATCTGGGTCAAGTTTTCCACAGTTGGGCCAATATGAATTATTCAAAATCTGCAAAAACATTTGCGAATGCCTAAATATTCTTTAGTTCGATATATAACCTTAAGGAATATATCATTTTTAAGCTCCTAAAAAATATACATGCAAAAATCTATCCCTGTGTTCAGCCGACTGATAAAATGAAAATCATAAAATATTCAGCTATGTTTCGAGGCCAATCTTAAATCCAGAGCAGGCCAGACAAACGTAAGAGCGAGTAGCGAGGGTCTTGGTATGAAAAACAGGACAAAAGGCCAGTCAACTGAATTGGTTCTGCTGTCAGAACTTTTTATTTAAAGGGGAGTTTGTGGCTAGCGCTGTCACGTGCCGTGGAGATACCGGTTAGCGTCGGCCCCGTATGAAGGCCGTGAGAATTTAATAACCTGGTCAATTGGCCCGAATGTCTGAACGAGAAGTTAGTATGATGAACTTTTCTAGTCCGACTGTCATTTGCCGCTTGTCGAAGGGTGTCTGTGGAGTGGTTTACAAGCTGTTCCGTCGCATTATTTCTTTCTCGTGTAGACTTACCTCTGGTTCGGGTATTCTGAAAAGGACGTAGAAGGGCACTGCACAGGAGATCATCACCAGAATGACGACGATGGCACTCTTTCCAAGCGTTTTTGCCACTTGGAAGAACATAACGACGAAGATGCCAACAGCGTCAAAACTAAAACAAAGGAAATTATCCTGAAGTCTCATCAGTCATTGACTGTGTGCTTCTTGAATAAAACTGTATGGGCTTTGAAGCCCAACACGGTGGTTGTACTTAGATTCTCAGCTACGCGGTACCATCGTCATAACAATGGGTCTCGCGAATTAAATTTCTTATTAAGTGGTCACCGACAGTTTTGCGTCAACTGTTTCTGATTGGATCCCCTCCCAAGGATTCTGTGGGCCAACTCCTACCCTACTCCTCCTCCTCCTCCTCCTCCTCCTCCTCCTCCTCCTTCTATGCACACCAAATCCACAGTGCCGAGAGGTCGAGTTTGACAACCAATCACGGCCTATCCCGAACGCACGGCGCTAGACTCAGCTGTTTTCGACTTCCGGTTAAGTGCTCTTAGAGTTAAGAAAATACAATGTGTGTTCTATCTCATGGAATTTGGTAACGGAAATTGATGAGAGAATTTCTGGACGCCTTTAACGTTTAGCATTTCGTTCGCTCATCCAGATCTTTCAATGAAATGCCCTCTTCTTGGGCAGAAATTGTGGTTACGTAACTATATCAAGTAAAATATCAGTAAATTTTAGCGAAAATGGACGTCAGAATATATTCGTGCAATTTCCTATGCTAATACATGTCCTAGACTCCGGTTACGCATCTGACCGACGTTTTAATTGAAAGGATAGTAATTTACCCGCGAGAGTTTTAATGAACAGGTTTAGCCGAACTTGAAAATTTAGTTTATGTCCGATGTTAACCATGGTGATCAACCTGCTTCCAAAAAGGTGCTGACTTGAGGGAAATCCTAAATTTCTGTAACACAGGTCTAGAACTACATTTATGGAGGATCATTTATCGAAAATTAAGTAAATGCGGATAAAAGTCAGCAGCAAAAAACAGCATAAAACAGCGTATAAGTTAACTTCAGGTGATTTTCAATGCTTATCGGTATTGTTTGCGCGAAATATTTCAAAATGATCCCGCGAGTACTGCATGATCTGGGAGATGAACCACGAGATCAGTCAAACTCACTAATGATTTCAAAATGATTCAGTGGGCTAGGAACGGTGAAGTTGGCGGAAACGCTGTAATTAACGTCTGAAATTTGACTTCACGTACCGAAGCAGGTGGAGCCCAATATATTTTCCACAGTGGATTAACTGCGTGCTCTGTGCCTGAGTCCGTTTTACATGTCTGCACTGAACAACCCGCGAGCTCACAATATTGTGTGATCTTTTTGCAGCAAAGATTTCTCAGAATTTTCAAAGTTTCATGACTCCAAAGTGATTTTAATCGCTTAGGGTTTTCGAAGGTAGGTGAATTTGAATGTGCTTTATTCCGCTTGTTAAAACCAGTGTATTTATTTGCACAGAGATTTGATGGGACCTGATTATGTATATGAAGGCGGCCAAATTTATCCCAACATGTTAATATGACGCCTACTGATCTATTATCAGGCTGGGTAAAGGCAAGAATATGGTTGCGGTAGATGCCCGTCCCTTGCGTTTACACGTTCTTTGCCGGGAACAGTTTTCCGTTTATAGTCGGCTATTAAAATTCATTTTCGCCACTTACTCTATACTCCGTAAAAGCATAAGTATGGGCCGTATAGAAAGTACGCTTAATAAGTATGCAAACACCAGAAAAAAGTACCATCTTCTTTTCTGGTTAATGTTTGATTGTTTTGAAAAAGGCGAATATTATTCGATTATAATCGCGGATGCCTTGAAGTGGATTAAACGAATATTTTATACTTTATTTATTAAATCTCATAATTTTGCTGCCTACCAAATAAATACCAGTGTTCGCACCTTATACACTCGCGAACGCACCTAATTTTCCACAAAGTGTCCCGCCTGCTAATGATTTATTAATATGGACAGAATGAATTCGGCAGAACGCTAGTACTGACAAAGACAAGGGAGACTTGAATGGCCATTTCTGGTATATTAAACGTCATCAGCCATTCATGCCCAACCCTGAAGTGTGGAACACCTGGGAAGCGATTCTGTGACCTGTTAGTTAGAAGCCAGTGCCTCTAACCACTGAGCCACGGGCTCGTTGTCCTGCTGGTTTAGATCGAGGATGTACAATGGTAAAGCGGCGTCCACCTATTGTTTTTTACAGAACTCATTCGTCCCGTTGTGCCCTACGTACTGGCTCTCTCTTAAGCCCAACCAGCAACTGAAGAGTACCGCATACTGTGTGCCGAATGTTGTTACCGACAAAGCATCGAATGTGGTCATTTTTACAATAAGTAGGCAATAGAAATCTCAACCTACCGCATGAGGTGAATTACGAAGTAGCTCCATGCCAAGAAGGCAGCAATTGCGCTCAACTCAACAAATTGATGGTTCACCTGCCGCATGGAGTTTAGCCCAGCGAAGCCAATTGCGACAGAATATACAGCAAGCGCGTAGATCGCAAGGCCACTTTTGTAAAATTGGAAACCCTGTATGACCAAAAGACAACAAAATCATTTCGACCGAAACATAATGCAGAACTGACCTTGAAGAATAATAAATCTGCTAATATCAAGCAGCCTACCGGATCGTGTTCACGTAATTCTTTATTCGTCTGAAAAACCCTGAAGGGTCATTGCAAAAGGCGGCACTACTGAAACGCTTGACGGTAGATTTTACCTAGAGCCACGACCGAGGTATCGGAAGAAGTTTGAAACTTATTTCACGCTAAGATACGCCGATGTGAAACGATTGGTGACTCATAATTGCCGTTTAAGTGCAGTTTGCCTTGAGGTCCCATTGCCAAAAATTATCAGTCAGTCGCTACTTGAGCCCCAATGGCGTTATTAGCTCAGCGATATCTCATTTTTAAATTTTTGGGTGGCAGCCTACAGTTACCCAGTCAGTTACTAAGGCCTCAAGATTACGCTTCTGTGATTTCGATCTTCAGACTTTTCATTAAAGTGCACCTACAATTTTTGTTTCGTGAAGAATACGCAGTCAGAATTCTTGGAATGTGAGTGTATCAAGAGGAAAAGCTGCGATCACCGGAACATGAAGTTTATTGCCCTGGCGTTCCAGATTTTCACTCAAGCCCATCATCAAAGACAGTCGCGGATCGACGGTTGCAGTCGGGTGTTTTAAATGATGGATTTGAGTGAGAATCCAAACCGTCAGGCCAGTGATTGCATCCTCTCCTGGACTGCTTTCTGGAAGCCACCCCTTCGCTTCTATCGGTAAGTGAGTATATGTTGTCCAGCATGCGTTACTATCACGGACAGGTTTATTCTGCAGGATATACTTTCTGTATTCGGAAGTGTCTTCCAATGAACGTAATGACTGTCTGAAAAGGGATATTCATTGGACGTTTCTTTTACGTTAAATCGTGTCTACTGGTGGTAGCTGAGTAGTTTGTTAATTTCGGATTTGCATGACAGGCAAAATGTCAAGGAAAATACTGACAGCTCCTTACTTCCTTAAAGATGAACAGAACCTCCTTTAGAAGGTAAATGCCTGCAATAACACCAACAATGATGCCACACGCGGAATGCAATGACAACTTGTCCGCTGAACCGTAGACCTTGAAAAAAGAAGATAAAAGCAATTATATCGAATTCGGACTCATTCACAGAGCACAGTGTTAAAAAACGTACAAGCTCATAGCAATCGACAGTAGTTTCGCCCGAATCGATGTGTCGCAGCGGTTCGTGATCCAGGACCATGAAGGAGAGGCAGATTAGGAAGAGGATATAAAAGGCCGTGCTGAAACAATGCAGCCAGATTCCATAATGGCGCCTGTTGGAAGCAAGAAAACGGAAGAGCTTGCCTTTAAACACAACTCAAAACGACAAGAGACGCAATTGAAATGCTGATGCTCAGCAGTCGAGGAATAACAACAGAGGGCAGACGGCGAAAGATGCCTGAGGCAGCGTAAGACAGGAAAAATGACACAGGAGACTATTATAGTTTGTCCTCTGAAGCCGGTGGGAGTCGAGGTTGTCTAAAAGGGGATGATAATTTGAGCGTGTTATACTGATTATTGTGGGAGCGTGGAATACCACCATGCACACGCCACACCCGCCTCAACTGCCCACACCTCTTACGCACATACACTCATCACATGGGCCTCCTTGGCTACATAGGCATACAAGAAAACCTGCCGTAAAACAACACGGGTTAGGCTCCACCAGCACACACACCGCATATGGACCTGTCCTGCATCACTCATCAAAAGCACGGGATCGACACCTCACACGCAAGTGAGAATCGTGCTTTTTAACGCCTATATTTGGCTCTCCTGCCACTGTAACACGTGCGAAATACGAGAAGTTTACTCCATTGTGCGAACTCGTGGGGGACCAGGGCGTGTGTCGCACGCGCAGACAATTTCTCTAGCTCTGTCAGCCGCCGCGCACTATATCGACATCAGGTGGCTGATCGGCGCGGACAATCGATTGGTGCAAGGGAAACGGAGGAGAGGGGAGAGAGGGAAAAGTTGACTGTCAGCGCATGATTTCTCATTATAAACGATCTGGCACGCTGGAATACTTCACTACACGCCGGAAGCGGCAACTTGAAATGGTACCAACCGACGGGACGACTCGGTCCTCCTTTCATGATGAATGGTGTGGCTGCAGTGTGTTCTTCCTAATGCGGTCTTTACAGCCCTTCCACTCAGTTGAGTTTCTGGCGGTCCTCCCTCACTTGTTGTGTGAAACCCTGGTGCTTTATGCGTAGACCAGGGCCTGTGGTGGCACGCCTGGGTATTGGTTCGTGTCGCGCCCGCCACCTGTTGTCTCTTCCGCCCCCGGTCTCCCTTACTGTCCTGACACTGCTTTCACGTGTGAGAAGGGGAGGGAGTGTAGTAGATGCCGCGCTAGTCTACCACCACATTAAACTAATTATTGTGCAAGGCACCGTCACTGTGCCCCCTCCTGCTATGGCGCACAGGGTGGAAGTGGTTAAAAATGACGGCCCGACTGTGGGGTGAGAATCAGAGAACATAAGCCTCACATTCTCAACCTATGTCCAACCTAACCCATTGGTAATAGAAGCGAACAGGCGAGTTCCAGGTAGCAGTTCAGAAGACGAATATGCGATCACTGGAACAAGACTTTTATTGGCCTGACGTTTCGGATCCTCACTCGAATCCGTCATCAGAGACATTCGCAGATAAAGGTGATGGTGGCACAGGGAGTGAAGTATTTATAACACGTGGCTGTCGTGGGATCATATGCTACACTGTAATTAATATCTCTCGCAATCACCGCTGGGGTCGTAATTGATGAAGTGGTGGCTTGTAAGTCCGAGTCCGAGTCGTTAATTACCGTGATTTCGTCATCCGTGCTGGATGCTGGTGTGACGATTGCTCGGCAAATTGACTCACTGTCACCGTGATAATTGCTCGCCCGCGCCCTCCCCACGTGACTTATTCCCCTGCCGAGGGAAAATCTTCTAACCCATTGGCCATATTCTGTCAGGACGACTGGAGACCGGAGCGGATGCGGTAGATAATCGCACAAGCGCCGTGTTTTCAACCCAAATGAACCCGCAATGTGTGACCTGGATATTGTGCAGAAGGGGTTGAGATCTCATTTCCAGCTTGCCCATCAGCTGGAACCCATGCAGGCCTCGAATGGCGAGGTGCAGCGATGGTTTAACTGCACAGCATTGACCTTCCTTATTCATCCACACACCTTTGCCAATGAAGAGAGTAGAGTAAGCCGACAGGTGCTGTAGTAGGACGCAGTGGCTAGTCCTGCAACTGACATCATATAGACTTTACCCCCGAAATTAGGCAAGAGATTGGCTCCCTTTCAAGTTGGACTCATGACGTCATCCATTTTGGTGAATCATAGAAAACGCAGGGAATCATAAGGCGCTTTTAGGAAGATCCTTGGAAATAAACGACCCAGCGTCGTCGCCAAGTTGCAGCAGCTGGGTGGTGATGGCACTATCGGACAAAAGAGACAGGAGTGACTACTTTCATTTAATTTCCCGCCTTCAGTCATCAGTGCAACAAACGCAGCCTCGGGGAGATTGGCGGCTACAATTCTGAGTCACCTAAGTCAAACTGACCACTATTTGGATACCTAGTCCATGCTTTACGTCATTGAATATCCCCGTGACTCCATAATCTACTAAAAGATTGGCCTGATCCACTGCTCTCTAAAGCATTGATTGGCTCACTGCGCTCTTTTCGGGCATTCTAACGTCGTCAGCTGTACGCTCACTATTTGGCAACTCGGTTTAGATGTACTTAAATTAATAGGAGATCGCCGGTCAGTGATATTATGTCGATACTAGACGGAGCATAGAAGTCCTGTTTTGCCTAGGGTCGACTATCGACTAAAAATTAACAATAATGTAGTAAAATGTGAATTGTAGATAGTGAGGCATTGAGTTGATTTATAAAAATGCCTTCAAATATAACATGGTGGATGGTCAATATCTCTTCCAGAGCCTTGTCGTAACCTGTTTCCTATGCGGTAGATTTTCCGGCTTTTGCATAGGCATACTCATTGCCACCTTTGAAAATTGCGCAAACTTCACCGTCTGACCCAATTTTAGAAAAATCTGCAGCCTCGGTGACTGTTCACAAGGCATGCAGTGGTTGTCATGGACTTTATCCAGTCGTGATCGTGCTTTTTTTACAATGCAGCCAAATTAATTAAGCTAAATTGTACAAATACTTATTGTTTAAGTAGCTCGTATTTCCCCATTAATCAGACCAAAAACCGGCAATTAAAATGGGCCATTTTGCGTTTATTATGCAGAAACGCACTTCCTATTAAAAATTTTTCCACAAAGGCCTGAGTCTTTCCGTTTGAAAACAGTATGTGCTTATCATAACTTTAAGATGCTTAGGCAACCTTTCAGGATGTCAGCTACCCACAAACGTGCTCCCTCTACTTGCAATCTATACAGCATAATTGTCATCCAGTACGATAGTGCGGACTAGATGACCATTTATCAGGTATGTAAGAGGACAAGTTGATTTGCAGACTTTAAATCTCTCCAGAAATTTATCGCTACTTTGGTCTTAATCCGTTTATTTGAGACTAATAAGAACGAAGTGAGTTTTAATATGAATATTCGAGTCAAGATCCACCATTCATAAACTGCCAAGAGGTAGCCAGCACTATAAAATGAGGTTGAATACTATACCGTATTTGACAGCACAGGTACCAGCTGAAGCCCAGGCGCGTATTTTGCCGATATTCTGCCGCTACGTGACATACCTACGAGGAGTTCGGCTCATCGATGGATCCCCATGGGTCCCCTGTGTGCTTTTTGGTCGACACTCCAGTTTAAAAATTGTGGTTTCTAGATTTTCTCGGAAATTAGTCGCTAACTTGGAGCACACCAGTCTGTTTAAGACTTAGAGGCTCAGACTGAATTTTGCAGTCTTTTCTTGGAAAAATTTAAAGTGTTGCAGTGTATCAGTGTCCTATCGACATTATTGCATCCCATAGGGAGTCCAAATTCGCTCGCTAGCGTCCACTTAATAAAAGTAACCTGGACTTCAGAGGGCTTGAGAAGCGAGCTTGACACGTACGGCGATCCCCACGGCACCTCTGATGCTGGAGCACCAGAATAGATGATTTAAAAGATTTGAGATACTTCTTACCTCCTCTAGATTCAATAAATGAGAACACCATATAGAGGCAAAAGTGAATTAATATCAAAAATTTTCTGCGCACGTTTGTACACCCTCGTGGCCGTCCGCAAGCCAGAAGGGTCGCAATTTGCGTTTGAGGTGAGGTTGAGTATCTGAATCTGCAGAAGAACCCTCCATGACCGCGAAGGATAGAGTGCGCCCAAAACTACTCAAACAGATCAGTCGGGGCTGCAACAGGTGATTGATGGTTTACAATCATCAACCTATGTATTTAAATCTATGCAAATGACAGAAATTTGTCGAGACAGCAAAAAGGAAGTTCTTACTAGAAAGCATCAAAGAAAGAAAACGTTCGAGTGTTCTATCACGTACCACTTGCATCGAAGTAGGGCCGAGCACAGGGGATGAATTATAAGTTCGTTTCTTCCAAACTCTATCATCAGCTAGAAAGAGAAGCATGCGTATTTTATTGGCAGTAGTAGAAACAGTAGTAGCGGTGCTCTTAAAACCAGTGTTAGTAGCACATTTAATCCAGGCATGGCAAGACACGGACGACTTTGTAACACGCAGGATGGAGGGCAAAATATTTACGTGTAAATAACTTGGTGAGGTTCTCTGACCGGTGGTTTTATTGAACATTTTAACATCCAGGCACCGAGAGGCAGGAAAGTAGCGTAAGGCTTCACTTATTGGTTTCATGCTATTTTCTTATCATCATTAAGTCTAGAACTCAAAGTTTCTGATTGTATTTGACTAGGAGGATGGAGCGTTAAGTAGTCAATGTAGTTAAGGAAGCCCCATAGAAGAAATAAAAGACATTATTTGCTGCTTTTTGAAGGGACAAGCTGTTTCCAAAGTCCATGTGTAGCAGGCCGTTTAGTGTGGTGTTCTCATCTCGACAAAATTCCAAGCCCAGCCTCACAGCTATTCTAGCCTTAAATTTAAACTAACCAAATCATATGAGAAACTTTATGTGGCTTCGTTCCCAAAATGTCGTACACTTTACGGTATAGCATGTTTAAATCAACGGATACGAGCCAAAATGTCTGACTTCAAATTTCGACTGGTTTTCTGTCCTAGGCCTACCACTGACTTGTGGCCTCCCAAGTTATGGTATTTTTTCATGCATACTTTCCGAAATAAACAGCAGACCTTGCATTCTCAGAAGACGAATTAAATTTTTTAGGCCGAAATTGTCGTAACTGAAATTCAGGTGAGTGATCTAAGAATAGATAATCGTTCATTATGAAGGAGGAAGGTGGAAGGCCGTTCCTAGTAATTCATCGCCCACACCCGTGGGGCCGATTACATCGGTCAGAAGACTGGGTGGCTTTTTAAAAAAGAGTTATGAAGCACCTTCTGACTGAGTTGAGAGAAAGGGACTTGAAAGACCATCCTCTGACCACGGAGTGGACGCTGCTCAGGCCGGTTTGATGATCTGTGAGGCACCAAATCTCCAATGATCGTGACGGAGACGACGTATTATAACGACAGAAAAAGTGACTACAACCCGATTTAAAGGCAGAACACCTTATCCTTTGTATAAGCAACTCACTTCCTACTTCTACGGTCACCCTACGTGTAAATTTCCTGTCCTCTTCAGCCTCTCCATTCTCAGATGCTTAAGGCTCCATGGATACCAACTGTCGTCCACGGTGTCCTCCGATCACATTGCGTACTCGGATCCTACTCCCCTTTCCGCCATCTCATACAGAGCCCAACGCTTTCAAGAGACAACCATCCAACTGCGCAAATATTTTCATCAGTCGCTACATACGCACGCACCCACGATGGACAAACGGAAAAGAGAGACACCAACAATTTTGCATTCCCTACCGTACATAAAGAATGTGTCGGGGGCCACAGAACACATTGCGTCAGAGTTAGGCTTGGGTATCGCTCATCATCCGGCGGCTATCATGCGTAGCAGGATCATGAAAATGAAGGATCGGCTGGAAGCCAATGAGCAGTCGGGCGTAGTCTATCCAATCACTTGCCATAACTGTCCTTGCCATTACACAGGTCAAGCAGGACGATGTCGCAGCTCACGAATACTTAAGCACAAACGGGCCGTTCGGAGAGGCGACCCACTATCTCAAATCGCCACTCACACGCTGGAGGAACATCATGAGTTCGACTTCATCAACACGCGGACGTTGGCGCGAGCCGGCAACAAGACAGGGCGAGAACTGCTGGAGGCGTGTGTGTCGGACACCACCTCTATCAATAGATACATCGATTTACCTGCGTGCTATCACGCACTCCGCCCACGCAACGAGGTGGCGCAGCTTACATCGCTGCGAAGTACAAACGGCGTCACCACGCCGGGGGACCACTGTGGGCCAGGTGGTACAAGCCAGACCTAGCCACGGACGTAGTCCCCCTCCTCATGGCACAACGATATAAATGTTCACACATTGCTGCACTCTAGCAGTCTCTGATGATGAACTGCTGTTCGAGTTCGAAAGCTAGGCCAATAAATCCACCGTTCCATTGATCGTGCCTTCGTTTTCTTTTAGACATGAACCTGGAATGCGCATATTCCCTTCCGTTCGTAGACAACCTTCCCTCTCTGTCCAGGGGATTTTATACTTTATAGACGACTCGTGTATTCTTAAAACTGAATACGCATGTCTGTACATTAGCTGGATAGCTAACTGAGCGACACGTAAATCATTCTATATGCAATAATCAGTGCCCATAATAATTAGAGGATCTATAAGCCACCCTTTTCTGTGTGTTTTCAAGGTTTTGAGTATAAAAAAATAAATGTGCATTCAGTCTTAAATAAACAGCAATGAGCTTTACATTCCTGTTCTTCGGAGGCGGGATGTCGGTAAATTGCAAAATTTGTGGAGACTCACCAGCAGTTTCCTCAGTGGCGACCGAAGAGCCTGATCGGGGGCATCCGCTTTTGGTTGAAGCAATTTAAAGTCATAGCTGACCTTTCAGTATGAAACAGGACCAAAGTTAAAGATAATATTATCGCTGCATGGCAATTGTCTCGTTCTAGAGAAAGGCTACAACAAATCAATTGCCTACTAATGTATGAGCGAATGGGGTAAAACTGACTGCCCGTTGACATGACTAATTAATTTCTGTCTTGGTAATATGTTTGACGAAAAGGGAGATCAGTCCGGGAAGAGGAGGCCTCTCTTGAGAAGCCATGCTGGACCGAAAGACTCATTTTTGCCATAGACGACGAACGACGACTTTTCAAGAAATTCAAGCCAGAGTAATTGTTGAAGGTCCGGTCAACCTCTGGGATCTGTGTCACGATAAACACTTCCATGAGTAGTCTTGCGACAGACAATCAGTACATACCATTCCTTCATGTACAGAATTTAAAGAGGATGAATTTTCCACCAACTAAGTAGAAGAATTGATATTGTCATGCATGTTCTCTGTGAAGTATATTTAAATTCCTCAGGACGTCGAAAATCTATGAAAAAATCACAAGGTATGAATAGTTATTTCTTAAACAGTGTAGTTTTTGCAGGCGGTCAAAAAGAAGTCCATTGCAAAGTCGGCATCCCGAAATAACTAAAATAACTCGGGATTTAGCTGCACGGTAGTTAGTATTACAACCCCACTTAGGTAATATTCTGGAGCCGAAAACGCATTTCAGAATTTCGGTCAACATTTCATGAGCCAGCACATCCACCGTACATCGCAAATCATGAAGAGGCGGAAATAATCCCCTAACAAGAGTGATACCGTGACATCACCAACCTCGCACAAGATGGACAGCGATGGAATGAAGAGGAGCGCATATTTCTCCTCCTCCAGACGGGGACTACGTAACGCCGCACGAGTTGGACTGGGTTGTTCGAATGAGGTGAATATTTTTAGTGCGGACCCATGATGGAGCTCATGTGACCGCGTGTCGGTGAAAATAGCCAACGCCCTTCCCCCGCGTGAGCGCCGACTCCCTTGTCGCAAGATAAGCCTCAACTCTCATCTCGTTCGCTCTCTGCGTCGGCATCTTCCACGCCTCCCCCCCCCTGCAGCTGCCCACGGCGCTGCAGTTGCCGCCTGTTGTTAAGCGGGCATGTTGGCGCCACCTGCCCATTCAGCTGGATCACCTCCCTGAGGTAATTCATCCATTCTTGTGACATTAATCACAAAGTTCCCATCCGTTCCTATTGCACAAATACTTATGCGTACTTGTGCTTGCCAAATTCTTCTACCGTGTCGGCTGAATGAGTCTGGTGGCGCGCCCAGCAACTCTCCTCAGCCCGTTTGAAGTCGGGAGGTATCCCCACTGCTTCACTTTTCCCCCCTCGTATCCAAGCGAAAAAAGGAATTCAAACCGCTCTTCGATCATCAACTCAAGAAGAATATTCTGCTTCGGTAGATTAAAGGTAGTATCAACTTATGCAGACGGGGCTTTGTCGCATGAACAGACAAGCCGAGCGTTCTGCTTTTAAGAACAGAATGGAACGTTCGCCCACAGTCTGGCGGTTTTCACTGGAGGGGAAACATCTGACCAGTCAGGGTCCCGCAAAAACACGTGCTTGATTTCTGTCCTGGAGAATCGGATTAATATTTGGCATCAGACGAACGCTGATCAAACCCTCAGCGTGATCATCTGGGAGCTGGAAAGCATTTCCTAACATCAGCCACTCATTCGGGCGAGGACAGGTACAGCGACACGGTTCTCTGTTTGTAGCAGACACTTCTACGTACCCTATGTCAACCCGGCTGAAAGACCTCATATCAAACCATAATTACGGCTGAATTCTTATCACACTTTCGCGTCCGAAATGCTATCCTACGTTATCGTCTTAGAAGCAGATTGGAGCTCCAACTTAAAGGACAGATTCGTGCAAAGGTCAAACTCCTCAAAGTATGTCTCCCTCTGTAATGGAACACAAACCTACACTAGTGAATCCAATTGACCCTCAGCTGCTGAAAATTATTGCGGCTTTCCGTACCGTAACAGTGTCTGAAATGGGAACGGCTCCTGATCTTGAGATATTTTTCTTAACATAAACGATGCCTAGAGCGATTTCGGTGATCCTCTACTTGCAGAGTCGGTCTCGAGTAAAAATTCAGATTTGCCAAGGATAAACAGTCGTGTCGGCAAATATTTTCGTTCACCGCGAGGCTGCATAAGTTGCCTTAAATTATTCAATTCTCGCTCTGGGCACTGCTTTTGGCATTATCACCAGAATTCAGTGGGAAGGTGTGCATTCGTCTTCATCCTTGCCTTAAAAATTGAAGCAAACAAATTAACATACACAGCGTGACAGCTATCATTTAGGTCCAGTTACATTTAGTTCAGCAAATATCCAAAATACCACAGGGCGCTCCGTGTAAATTGTCTAGTTTTGATGACAGAAAAGCCTTAAGGTTGAAAGAATTTGCAGTTTCATGACCCTTAGTTGACTACACAACCAACTTTACACTGAAAAAACGCTGGATTTTTAAGTGTACAGATATTTCATGTAAACGTTTGATGCTGTGCAACGTCTTTGATGTTTATTCTCTAAACGACTAACCTCGTATGATGGTGTATTCGGAAGTCCCGACTGTGCAACGTATCGATCCATGACAGTCTGCGCAGGATTCAAGAACAGATCGAAGATAGAGTTCAAGTATGGGAAATAAGTGTGTGTACTTTAAATATATCATGACTGTAGTTATCTGCTGGACCATGGTGTATCTAAGCAAGTAAAATCCCTAGTACGAAGATCAGCAGCGGGTGCAGGCTCACTGAGTTCACTATGGACATATTTTATTGACCGGATTTTCAGATGCCTAGAGAGACAGGGCAGTTCGACCATCGTTTCCAATGATGTCCATCGCGTATTGCACATCACGTTGAGAACAGGGACGGTGACTTGCGCATTAGTTCGTTGGGGTGATAGAAGGCTTGCGCTGTGTCCGATGGCTCTCTCTTTACACCATTACCACAAACTAATTCACATGCGAATCCCAGGGCCTGTTATCACCATATAGTGGGGCTCACAGTGGGCATGTTTGGAGTCGACGGCCGAACTGTCGTGTGTCGCAATGTCTATCATGAGTGCTGATTTGGTGCGATACAGTGATTCAAAAATTTGGCCCATCTTTGGAGTTAATCACTCTACCCAAGCAAGCCCTAAGTATTGAAAATGAAGAGGGGAGGCTAATGCGATTTTGAACTGATTGCGGACTAGGTAAACATGACTCAGGTATCAATCTGTGCATGAATTTCGGGTTTGTGGAACCTGAAAGTGTGGCGCTGTTCCGTTGACTGGGGTGTGGACGGTGAAACAGTCGAAGCACTATTTCTGAAAATCACGATACGCGACCGCTTGTGCACCCCCTAATTCTAGCTGAGGAATCTGCATGTGTGTCCAACACTTTGGGCAAATGACATTTTCGTCCAACTGAACATCGCTACCATGTGATACCGCAACCTAACGATCGTTGTCGACAGAGTGAGTGCCCCGTAGTTGGAGTGGCAAGAGCTCAAGAACCAGCTGAACCCGTGTCTGAATTTGGAACTACATAGGAAGGTAGTGATGCCGATTGCCTCCCATCCTGCAATCAGTCTACACACCGAACTCCGCGAAGAGCTCTCATCATTTCACGAAAGGGCACATGTCATCTCGGCCGAGACTGGTAGTATTGAGTCGTATGAAATTGGGGTACACCTATCCATCCAGGTTGGAGTGCGACAACGAGCATCACCGCGTTGCCTTGCAGATGAGGGTTTACAGTCCGCGGAGGCGGTCACATGGTGACTACCAAATAATAATTTCGTAGTAATCACCGACAGTGTAGGCATGTTAGAATGCCCCCTTCGGGCTTGCTAACTGTCACCAACCGGACAGCAGACCTGAACACCTGACAGCAGCTCTGCTCGAGTCAGCTGATCATCGGACAACGCCATCACCACGACCTGAGTCCGTTGATGTAGTGGTGAGGGCGTTGACGGACGTCTGTCGCGCGGCCTGGGTCTCAAGAACCACTATCTGATGTCAGGGAATAGGTCAAAAATGGCAATTCCGGTATTCCCTGGACTTGTCGACAGAAGCCACGAGGCAAGACGAGGAAGGCATGGTTGTTGGCACAAGAGCTCGGGGCCCACTATAACCCTTATCTGATTCTGTTTGTCGAGCTAGATCCAAATGTAAATCAAAAACCTCAGGTCAACAAATCTCTTGTTTTAGTGATTGTGTCCCTTACTTCTTTCTTGAATGCCTGGCCTTGCCAACAAAATTATTCGACTGTCGAGTGTCTGCGAGTGTCTGCGCCCCGGAAACGTCCTACAGTCAGGACAGATCGATGGACGCTGTTCTTATACGTTGCTTTGTAATTTGTGCGTGCTTATGCACTTTAGAGGCATCACTTATGTACTAAAGAGTTGTCGTCATCACGTACAAGGGAGACTTCAACGACTGTCTTTTATTTAGTTGCGGGTCAACCTCTTAGAAAGCCACTTTTGTCTTCGCATTTTCTTAGGCGTACTTATGTACACATCACATAAAGTTTAGACTTGCGACAGCTCGTGTTCTGATCTTGTCGCCGTTTTCTTCTGATGGTTCATTAGTCCTTGTTATGTCCCTGAGTCCGTTTTCGTCCCTCGCGACCAGCATCTGAGATCTAATGCTCAATCACACCTTGTTAGACGTGGATTCATCCAGCGAAAAATCATGCCAACAAGAGCCCGCTCGGAACTGTTAGAATTATCTAAAAGGACCCTCACTTTCTACAGCAACCTGACACTGGAGAGGGCTTTTCTTCTTTCTAAGCTTATGCCATTTTTCTCATTAATTTTATGTCACAATGTATGGGTTAAACGACACACCCTCCTTTACAATTACGCTTCTCCTACTCATATTATTGTTGTAGTCCTAATTATTGTTTACACTACAGGGTTGAACGCAAGGTCTACTTGCTCATTGGGTCAGCAGCTCTGTCAATCAACCCTCGACTGACGCACCAGCGGTTGTGATAAAGAATATTCAGATGTAGATTTGTGTTCGTGTTCATCGGTTGATCCTAGCAGCAAGATGCAGAAAGGGTTCGCTGTTCTGCTTCGTAGTTACAGCCAAAGGCCCAGAAGTGGTTAAGTGGTACTCAAAAATTGCTGCCGGTAAAATTAATGTGCAATCGAACTGCCGGGGTTGACCAGCCTTTCGTCATAATTCGGTTCTGAATCGTAGTCGACGAAGTTTCAGGGAAAGATGCAATTCTTAAAGTTCCGCGTGTCCTAGTCCTCATTTCTTCCTAGCCTTGTTCGTCTCTGGAAATCGACAAATGGACTCAACCCGCGAAATCAACTTAATGAACCTCGAATTGTGAAGGAAATTCGATAAAACGTAACATGGACTTGCTGGAAAGTAACGGTTTATGTAGTTGTACGATGGCTGATGGCCGAAACCGGGAAGTCAAAGGGGGTAAAGGGGTTAAACAACGAAGTCGACTCACATTTTTTTACCGACTTATGGTCAAGATTCAACAAAACGATAAAACTTACCGAACAAAGAGTGGGCACTTCACGGATGAAGCCCTCAAATGGGCACTGGTCCGTGTGTGAAAGGATGTCAAAAATCTCGTCCCATCTGCATGAAGGCAAAAGAGGAAGAAAACCAGAATGAAACCGCTCCTTCCTAGTTAGCCGTAAATTGCCTTCAAAATGGTGGACGGCATGACCAGCCTGCTTCAGGGGAGCAGTGAAATGTAACCATAACTCTTGTAACTAACGCCTACATCATTGGTACTTATTGTTTTAAATACTTCAGAACGCCGCAATGCAGCTCCTTGCTCAACTCCTGTTCTCATTTCTTGATCGAGGTGCTAGCAATAGTTTAGAATGCAAGGACTATGGGTCTGCGCGAAACTGTCTTCCTCGCAGATTCATCACAAACATGCAGCGAGAAAAAATCGGGAAACAAATCTTCCTTTTTATCCGTACTTATCTGACAGCTACGTTTTAAATGGTGTTTGAATTGCAAATCACACGCCTACGTGCATTACGGAATCTCAGTCATATGTCAGGAGAATGGCTGCATGCGGCTGACGGAAAAAAACATGTTTGGATTAATTTAGATTAAAATTCGGAAAAAATTGGCTATTTCAACAATCTATTTTTAGGTAGCTATTAAAATCATCATCTGACTGAATTGTGTATAATAATTTCATTTGAATGGAGAATTTATTCAGCTACAGATAATGCATACATTGGAAGGCAGGCATCCCAAAAAATAATTTGAAGATAGTAGGTTCTTTGGGAAAAGTGAGAACCTTATTGCTAAATTTTCGAGGCCAGTTCCTCATGTCGTTGTCAAACTCGTGTAAATGCACAAGAAAGTAAAAAATCCGAACCCGCCCGGAAAATCCATATCTTTCCGGCGATTCTGCCGGTAAGTGTCCACCGCACACCTTATTGTGTATCGTTTGGTTCTTGTCTTTCTCATGTTTCCTTAAGATTTTTGTGCATGGAATCTAACTCAACATGCTGATTAAAGCATGACTCAACTGAGTGCATGATTTTAAGAAATTCTCGGCAGTTGTGGTAGGGAAGACGCCGATGATGCGAATCTTGACCCTTGCGAAAGCATGCCCGGTATCTAATATGTACGTGGTCATTTGAGATAGGTGGTCTCGGATCTTGACAGCTTACGCTCGTGAATGCGTGTGGAGGTGGACTTTACAGTGTGGCCACAATATAGGGCATCGAAAGTTTCCCGTGGGATCATGTGGACTACTTTCTTCTTCTGCAGATAGCCAACCCTACCCTAGAGTGCACAAGCTGACTGTGTAAAGTAGTCGTCGGCCTGTGCGTCACTGGCATTTGGTGTTTTCTCAGGTGTCTTTTAACGAGTTCAGGCGCATTTGCGATGAAGGGGAGGGTTCTCCACGTATTTCCTTTGGCGCTTGCTTTGAACTGCCCAGTTCCTTTTCTTTTAACTCTTCTTTTTATGCATCAACATACGAAATCTATAGTGGTTAACATTCCGGGAATCTAATCAAACAAATAATTCAATTCTACTCCGTAGCTTTCTTAGTTGGAACAGTGTGTTTTTGCTTGGTGAAGGAAGCTGTTGACAGTGCTCCGTTTGTGAGAGATTGGGTTGTTGCTCTCGTAGTGTAAAATGACTCCTGCATAAAATAATAATTTTGACATTTGCTTATGTAGTCAACCCCGGTATTCAGTGGGGGGAGGCGGTTACAAACGCTCTTATCCGGGAATATCTGAAGTCAGAGAATACTTTGCACTCCACTATAACGCTTAAAACAGTCAATTTAGTGTTCAGATATCAAATATATGTATTTGAAACTATTATCCTGAAACTCCTTAATATTTTGTGCATTTATTACATTAATGTTAATAATTAAGAAGTATCAGCACACTTTTTATCAAAAAGAGGCATTTATTCACGAGTGTAAATAAAAAAGTGAGCAGTTACTTTAGATACACTCTGGAAAACAAGGATTTCCGCGAACAGGCCGAGGTCAAATGTGCCTATCATAGTTTATTGCAAACTTCATCTTTGTACGGCTTTATATGGCCGTGAGCTGTTTTTCGTTTATGTAGGTTCAGAAGCATATATCGCTTTTCACAACTCTCATTAACTGGGTGGCGTATGTTTATACATATTATCGAACTAAACCCTTGGTAAAAATTTTGTGGCAGTTTTGCTTTGTGGCTAGAGTCTTTTTATTTATTTATTGAAGTGAGAAACATGCGACTGCGTGTGGTTTTGTTTCTTTTAAATAAAATTACTCCTGGAAACTTTCAGGTATCAAGCAACAGCCCCTACCTTCATCGACTGCTTGTTACAACTGTCCTCGGGCTTAAGGTTAGGGTGGTATGGTGAAACTTCCCCGTAAACGAACGCGTGCCCTTTCTTATTCTTCGTCAGCCCTGCATTCCTCAGATACTAACGGACTAGTATGAACACAGGCGGACACATGTCACTACTGACTTTCGTGTTCACCTCTGAAATTACAGTAAATGGACCAACTCATGAAATGTCAACCGAAATCTCTAAATGCGTTTTCGTTTTGAAAGGATTATTTAAATAGGGTTGTAAAACTAATTATCATGAAGCATAATTCTGTAATAATTAAGTTATCTCAAGATGTCGGCATTCGAAAGAACTTATTTTTGGCTGCATGCAAGACTATACTCTGTGAAAAATGACTGCGCATGTGGCATGCATTTTTCACATTTATTTTAGATGCCCTTGAAATTTAAATTACATTTTATGGAAAAAATACATGAAAGTATTTATACTTTGGCTCATTCGATAGAAGCTTACGTCTTCATCCAATTTTTTGCTCGAGGGCAGGGTATAATTGGGTTTTAAAGACTTTTTCAATTCCCGAATAACTTTGAACCCCATCTGCCGTTACAATTGTATTCATGATTTCAAAACCAGAAGCCGTGCATTTCCCGCGTACGGTAAACTACACATTTCTCTGCGGTATTAAGAGAAGACCATGTGGTTTTCATAAAATAAACCACTGTATTTGAGCCACACTGTTAACTTTACAAGCCACATGGCGTTTCGAGAATGGGTATCTCACGGTATTAAAAAATCCCACAGTTAGAAACTTTTTTTAAAATTGAATCATACTCTTCCTTCGAGTAGAAATTTGAAAAGACGCCATTTTCTACCGAATGAGCAAAAGAATGAATATTGTTATACATGTTTTCCATAAAATATAATTGAATTTTAGAGGGCATCTAAAGTAAAGGAGAAAGATGCATGCCATATAAGCAGTCATTTTTTACAGAGTATAGTTTTGCATGCAGCCGAAAAGAAGTAATTTCGAAAGCCGGCATCCTGACGTAACTAAATTATTATAGAATTATGCTGCATAATGGTTGGTTTTACAACGCTATTTAATTAATCTTTTCGAAACTAAGATTCATTTCGAAATCTGGTAGATTTAACTACGCCGACATCACAAATATTACGTATTTACATCTTACTAACCATTTTAATCCAACGGGTGACTCTGCCAGTGGTCGAGGAGGGCTCATATGTCAGCCTTGGTTATTTCAGTTATCAGTTCACACGCCCTTCCCTGCGAGTGCTTGGAGCCCTGCTTGCGTCCCCATTACTATCTCAATCCAGCGGACGTCCAAGTAGACTTGCTAGTGGAATTACTCCGACGGCGTGTATCTCCGCCGACTCCTTCACAGTGGCCATACACTGCGAATTAACACCTGGTACTCCCCCCCCCCAGTGGCCTTCCAGTTGTGATTGCGCCCTCCTTATCCTCCAAATCCAGCAAGTGGCTGTGCCGGGAGGGAGTGTGTACACGCCACCTTCACTGGCTTCCCTGCACATGCTTCGAGCTCCGCTTAAGGTCTCTTTCCTTTTCTAATCCACCAAGTTAGGTATATTAACTAAAATTGTTTTAGTAAACTAAACATGCGGTATCAAAAAAGTGGGGCTGCAGAACCAAACCTCGTCAAAAGATGCAATTCTGCCTCACCTGGCGCTGACTGCTATGGCCTGCGCAGCCTTCAGATTACGTTTTCGAAGCGCCATGGTAACAAAGTAGATGCCGTTGAAGTCCGGTTCAATCTTCGCCCCTTTTTGCAGGAAGTATTCCAGGACAGCGCTGTGGTCCTTCTTCGCCGCGTAATGAAGTGCCGTCATCTGTTAAGTCAAGGAAAAGGTGAAAAAGTCCTTAAAACCAAATGCGGTGCCCAATTTGGACGTTCTTCAACGCCTACAGAAAAATTATTACTGCAAAAGAACTTACAAAAATATCAGCCCCAGTGGACAGAAAATAGTTAAAAAGAGCCACAAGCGATGAATACGGATCGAATCCACGGTCCAAGCGAAAATAAAAGCTTTACTTGTTAACCTTTTAAATAACATCTTAGAAGTTTCTACTCATTTTGTTCAAATAAATTGGATATCAAATAAATCGTCAGATTGCGGGATTGGAATTGAGCTTGCCTGCCACAGAAAACAAGGGATTGCTGTCTGTAAGAGGTTTAGCTGTCATTGTCATTCTTTTAACGTCAACGACGGCATCGCCATAGGAATATGCATTTTTAAGTTGCAAATGTGAGGAAATGTATTTTTAATTACGAATTTGAACCGCCACTAATAGCGAGTCTCTTGTAGGGTCGCTGAGAAACAAACCGACCTCGCCTTAGTTGGCCTTTATCCTTCGCTGCTCCGCCATATTCACGAACCCTCTAGGCATTGCGCTCAACCAGTCGTCTTTGCGTCCTGCTTCAACAAAGACTGTACAGTCGGCTGCTTCGTCCTGAATTCTGATGTCGGAACACGCTATCGTAGAGCGGTAGATCAACGTCTACCTAAAAACTGATCAATGTGATCGTCTTTCACGTCTGATGTACAGTAAACTGATAGGACTGTCGTATCCAGTTAGCCGTCTTCATTGACGGTGAATGTAATTTATCTCATCCCAAGCTATGCATGGTTTGGGGTGATGAATCCTACGATTAATGTTTCCTATTTAGTTGACGAATTTGAACATGAGCAGTTTATACAGTTGTACCGTCTCGCGAGTGCGGCCGTTCGTTTGTCCATTGTGTAGACGCTTTGGCGTGGCCTGAGAACCATTCGTGGCTGCTTTTGACCTCTTTTCACCTTTCTGCTTTGCTTATTTCTAACGTTTCCTTTTTTCCCTTTTCATCAAGTAGTTTCCTTTTTTAAAATGTGTTCCCTGTTATTTTCGCTGAGTACCTGTTAGATTAATAGTCACCGTTCTGATGCGTTGTGGGCAGTTCGACCGTCGCCAACTGATATGGTCATAGTGCGCTCCGCCCCAAGCTGGGCGCAAGGCTATGGACGTGAGCGTGAAGTAGTCTACACTGCTATTAGACCTGCACTGCATCTACCACTCTCTTCTTTTTTTGACCCACCTGAACACGGTGACATGACAGAGTCAATAGGATCGGAGACGGGAATGGACACAGTGGCTGGCAAAACTAATCAACTCGTCTGCGCGTACAAAACACACGTGCGGCCCACGTACGGTCGAGCGAGGCTTTCACGGAAGCAGGAGAGAGGCGGTCCCGATTACAACTGAATAGGGATTCCATTGAGAATACATTGAGAAGCAGCCATCGCGGTCTGACTCCCCGCTCTGAGAGGGCCGAAGTACCCCGTCAGTTGACAGCCTTCTAGGCCATGACTTTTAGCACTTTTAGTACACCGCCGCATCAATTTGCCTCCCCCTATCTGAATTTACGAAACTTCTTAGTGGGGACAGTCACGGCGCGGGATAATCGGGGCCGTCAGTCATCTCCGCGGCCGACGGGGGCGATTCAGGTCACGGTGACATGCGGGTTGGATGCAGCCACACAGGCGGCATTGGTAGGTCGCGCACTGAACAAAGTGCACCATATAAGGGGAGCTGTGCGTAGGGCTTTCCAGTCTCTGAAGATGGGTAGACGAAGCAACTACTCGAAACGTCGACCCACCAATAAAGGCCTTCCGGTGAACGCCTCTTCTTCTTTTGACACCATGATAGTCTAAATGCGCGCCAGATTACTTAAAGTGGGGTATACGCGTTAAAAGTCGAGAGGGTGAAGTGCTCAGAGTCAGCCACGCTCTCTCTTTCCTCCCCCAGACACAGGTAGGCTGTCCGACCCGCTTATCCATGTGGAGAGGAGGCCTGGTATGGGGGTTAGCTCGGAGTGCGTCTGCGACTAGGCTTGTCAGCCCACTCCACGTGTGGCGTCCGTTACGGATGCGCCGCCTTAATAGCGTTTACCATGCCCTAAGCCGGCCTTCCACGTTGGCCGGGGCAACACCCGCGTGGCCGGTTGTGGGGAGCATGGTGGACTGTAGATCTGCATCAGAAGGCACGTCCGAGCACCGGGGGATTACGGCCACTGCGCGTAAGCCATAGCAGCACAGTTTTCAAACGCAAATGTTGTCTTCGCTTGCATATGGTTAGGGGTCAGTGACCAGTGAGCAGGAGGAAGTAGCCGTAAAAAACTAGAACTCACCCCACGGAAGTCTTTTGCGTCGATTATTTGGGAGTTAGCTTCATAAATCACACGGCAGGTCTCCAGGCAACCCGTTTTGGCTGCCCAGTGCAGCGGCGTCCCGCCCTTTTGGCATCTGATGATGAAAAATAAGAAGACAGGACGAAGAAGACAACAGAAAAAGAGGGCTAAAAAACGGCAAAAGATATCAAAAGTAAGACACCATTTTGGTACGCCGTTTTGAAAAACCTCACGTTTACTGGAGCAAAATCTTTCACCAGAGGACAAGAGGGGATTTAAGTAAACGAGCAAGAAATTAGAATTCCAATGCACGGTATGTCTCCCTGGCAGAATTTCGGCCCGTAAAAATTGTCAAATTATGATGTAAAAACTGTCGGTAATCATTAGTTCGGTTAAATGGCCATTATTTTCTGATACTATTCGAAACTTAAATGTAGTGAATTTTACAGAAGGAAACTGTGTCTCATGAAAAAACCCAAGCTTTTGACCTCCCGAACTGCAAATTAATGTACTGCCACCAAATTTAAATAATTAACCTGCCAATTCTCATATGTTCCGTCTTGGAGATTTCCCGTATTTATCGAGTCAGAAACGGCGGAATGCTTAATTTCATGCGACCGACAACGACTCCCTCATCTTTAGCGCGATCGGAGGTTCGAGTCCGTCGCATGATTAAAAATTTCCATTTGCATGGATTTCTTATTTATAATAGTCCGCAAGGGGCATCAGAAAAAAACTAAAAAGTAATCATCAGTCATTGCTGGAATGGAGGTTCTCAACTCGCATCTTAAGTGAGTTCGAGTTAACGGCCAATCAGAATGTCAGACGAACCGGTTGGTGGCGAGGTTTTGCGATAAATTCAACTTCATGAAAGAGGCGTTCGGGCGACTGTAATGACACGAAACAGCTTCACGTATTCGACCCAGAAACCGATGAGGGGAAAAATAAGCCCTATACGTTTGTCGAAGTGACTGGTTCCTACCGTAACCGGACAAACTCTGCTCAAAAATTTGCAGCAGATGCCCAAATGATAAGTATCTTGTATAATCCGTCCAGTGATAATTGGCCTTTTGTAAGATCCACGTCTTACACAAGGGCTTCATACTCCATCCAACACTGTACTCAATCTCTTTTGCAGTCGACTCGACTCGGATAGTCCGTCAGTTCGCTATAGTTTAAACCCAGTACTTAGTTCCCGCATTATAAATAAATAGGCACCCTTTTATATTATCTTCATATCGAACGATCAGTAACATTGTAGTGGCACTTTCTTAATGTAGTCTTTGGGACACTTTCAACAATGCGATGTCCGCGACCACTCACCGTGATCTCTCTTCGCATGAAACGGTATGAATCAGATCGTGTGGAGCACGTGTGGACAGATAAGGTTTTGGTAGGGGGCGCTCACCGATCGTTCATACGGAACTCACTCGTTCCGTTGTGCCCAACCAGCCGCACAGCGGCGCATGATATATAGGCAGAATGGTATTACGGCTCGGGTGTTCCACACTTCGGGCTTGGGTATGGCTGGCTGACGACAGCTAATAAGCCAGAAATGGCCATTCCATTCTCCCTTGTCTTTGTCGGTAATACCATTCTGCCTATATAGATAAGATTTTATTGTCAACAACCATCACACCAATCTCCTTCAGTCGTCTCAAACCTGTTTTTTCATAGGATCCTGACAGACGGATGAAGCGTGAACAGAGGTGGATGCCGTGTGTTGTACCCAACTGGTCAAAGCTTGGAATTCTCCACGCCCTCCTCGCAAGTACTTCCACATTTGTCCACTGTTGACATTTCCCTTCCGCCTTTTTGCAACCCTATTTCGAACGTGATGGGCGTTCTTTTAATTAACTAGGTTTTGTATTCTGACCTTGAGCTCGGAATTAGATTTGCTCGAATAGCAAAAAAAGGCCAGTGTTATACCCTTTGGGCTAAGGTTTTCGGGTTACGGTTAGGGTTTCGGTTTAAGATTAGGTTTTACAGTTAGACCTATGCCTAACAGCTACAGTTACGTTTACGATTTCGGTTAGGGTTTGGGTTAAGGCTGCCGTTAGGGTTAACGGTTTACGTTTGAGGTTAAGGTTAGAGTTAGGTTAAGGTGGCCGTCCGCTTCCCCAAGCTTGGCTACTATCTGCGATCTAGCCGAACTCTTTGACCAGGGTATCCATAGTTAAGGTTCGTACCTTTTTTCTTATTAGCTTATTCTATCAGTAGTACCGTATATAAACCGAAATCTGTTTTGGCTTATACTCGTAACTAAATTCAACAAGAATTCTACACCATGCATGCATAAATCTCCTCTGCGCTGTCCCTGGTGGCTGTCGCTTGTAACGAATGGAAGATTCTTCCTTTGAGCTCAACTTATGATGGGTGGATCACAGACCGTTCAGACGTTCGGCATCATGCGAAAGCAGACGTGGACAGCGTTGTCCTAAGCAGAAAGTGATTGCCGACGAGTACAGCGGAGATTGGGATGATCCCCTCCCTATTCTCCTGATCGAAAACTTGTCCTTACCGTCGCAGGCGACGACGTCCATTATGCGTTTCACGGCATCTATAACTTGCGCGTGTATTAGTTTATGATCAGGCAGCTTTACGAAAGCATGCATCTCACTCACTCCTCTCTTACCCTCTTTGCGCTGATGGCGAGACAATGTACAGACGACCACATGCGGGCTCAAGCGCTCTGGCTGACAATCCCTAAACATCCCATCCACGTGTGCCACACGCACAACCTGGTTCCCACACATTTTTCGAGTATTCATGAGGTCGGATGGGATCTCACATCATTGAGAGTGCTATAGAGGTCAAATTAAGACAAAGTCGTTGCAGCCTAACTGCCAGTCCTGAGGATGGTCGAGCTTCCCCATTCATTCGGCGTCTGCCACTATTAGCACATCGTTATAGATTTAAGCGCGCCGGATTCATTATTGGTGAGGAATGCGCTGATGCACCGCAGGGACTCTGCACTGTCTGGTTAAGTCATGCCATGAGTCAGACTGGCCTCTGTTTTAGGTCAGCATGTCTGCAACGCAGCCGGTTGCGGAATACGGAGTTGCTAGCCGTATAGCCATTGCCTCGGCCGTTGCTAGTATCCGTTGGCGTAGGCCTTTAGAAAAGCTTGTCGGTGTCCGATAGACAACCTGAAATGCTTCCTTGGCATCAAGTCGGTGATACGTATTGATTAAATGTGCGAGAATAGAACTCTAAATTAATCGGGTCTCACCTCTGACACCTATAAACACTGTTAATTTTGTACATTTTTATTCCTTCATGTAACTGTACTGGCATGACGAAGAATCACCAAAAACTCGTGCTTGCCAACTTGACTTATCAAGTGTTACATGGGACTATTTGCGGAACTTAATCCGGAATTACTTACTGCTCTAAAAAATCCAATTATGTCTTACAGAAAATATGGTGGAAAATATTTTTTCATCCTGTTTGGAAGCAAATCACATATACTTCAGATTTTATTCTCAAAGGATGAGCATCTTTCGATTTCCAAAGTCATCTAATTACGGCGTTTTTGAGATCGTGCGATGTATATTCAAATATCATCGTTCCTGTCAGTGTAATAATGTTCCTCGAAAAACAACAAACATTAGAACAGATTATGGGCCTTATATGGTATTTTTCAAATGGAATGGAGGAATATATGGCTAACTTGCATGGAAAATGCAAAAGGTACACGGTCTGAGGACTGAAATCCTAAGCTTCAACGCAGTGGCAGATGGAGCTTAAAATTGTTTGAGAATTGGGCAACTTTAAAGCATAGGTATGCTTTTCCTTTGAGCATAAAATTTGAACAAGATGTAGTTTTTGAGCAAATATGTGCAAAAAAGGATATTTGTTAAAGTGACGTCTGAAAAATGCATCTGAACTTTCATGCGCACTTTTAGTTACTGACGGGCTGCGTGCCAATGGATCAATTTCTCGAATTCGACGTTTTCCGATCGATCACGTTTTACTCGTAATCCCCGTGACTCCTACTCACGCGAACGAAATCTCTTTTGTAGAGGTCACCTACAGGACAATTCTTCTGCTGAATATGATGAGGCTTATCGATATGCTCAAGAGAATTGAGTTTTCCGCATGCCACAGACATGTCGGTTGGCTATTCCACACGAACCAGTTCTCGCTTATTCACATAGAAGGAGTTTCCATTCGAAAGGATTTACCAGGATTTGGATCGCACTTCTGAAGAAGTTAGGTATCAAGTCATAGGCAGTAGCACTGCCTTTAGTGATGCCACTACCATTGGTACCGTTGCGGCCACTACTAGTCCCAACATCATTGCCGACTATATCCACTGTGTGCTCTACAGCAAGGTGAGAGCAGACACGATGACTCGTACATGAATGAGTTCATGGTGGTAGTAAACTTGCGTAGGATCTGCCGCACTGCCTCCCACCTCGCTCACATGAGCCTGATATCAAGGCTAAGTTAGTAGGACCGGAGGCGGCATCAGGCGTAGGTGGTTGGCGCGGCGGGATCCGCACCCAGGCGTACCACCACCACCACCACACATCTGGTGCACATTAAACGCTTGACCCGGATTTTAACTAACAAATGTGGATCAGGAAGAGAAGGAGGAGACAAGTAACCGGGCGAGCATCCGCACGGGGGAGGCCCAGCGCATCCACAGGTAGGGAACCAGGTGCCCGAGAACTGCCATTGCGCACCAGACTGCGTAGGCCAGGGTTTGCTGAATAGCAGACGCGCACAATCCTTTTATCCCTGCCAGCTCCACTTTTACTTCAATCATCCCCATTACTAATGCTTTCAACTGCTATAACGACCACCGCTGCGAGCACTACTAGCATTATTACTTCAATACTGCTTAGAATATTGTTGTTGTCTTCGCCGCTGCTGCTGCTGCTGCTGCTGTTACAATTAACACATTCAACCCAAATTAGTTGGTACACATCAACACTAGGCCCCCCGCGACCAGACCTTCTGAAACTGCTGCCCTTGGCGATGAGCAGACTGACGATTCGAGCATGTCCATTGAGGGCAGCAATGTGTAGAGGAAGACGGCCCCTGTCGTCGGGCGTGTTCATTGCCCAGAGACCGTGAGCTGTGCGCAGGAGACTCTCGCAGGTCTTCAGACAGCCCCTGAGAGCGGCCAGATGCAGGGGCGTTTCCCGTTCACTGTTCTGAGCAGTGCAGCTGGCACCCAGATCGACGAGCTCCACGGTGAGGCTGAGTTGACAATCTTTCGTGGCGTAGTGGAGGGCTGTGCAACCGAATTCATCCTTCTCCTCAAGCAGTAAAGGGAAAAGGCCATGCTGTTGGCGCGCCGGGTTGTGGTGGCGGTGGTAGTGACAATGGAGTGAAAATGAGAAGGAGGGATGATTAGGTAGAATAACTTTTAGGCTTTATTGTCCAGACATCTTTCTATGCCCATGTGTCTGGGCCAATTTTTAACCACATGATTAATACGCGACCCACAGTACTGAAGTGAATAATATGACGCTTCAGGAACGAGCCGCAGCAAGTGAAGTCCAAGAAAGGGTAGCTCAAATTAAGGAATGCAATCCAAATGAACTTGGAACACTCCGCGAACGAGAGTTGATGTTAAGATGATCTGACATCACTTCACTAGAGACTTTTCCGTTCAAAAATTGCGATGCTGTGAGTAGTTTTAACGCGGATACCATCTTTTTACAGTTGATTTACTGCTTATGGGTAATTCAGAAGCGAAAGTGGATGAACATCAGAAAATTGAACAATATGACACCATTCTTGTACTCATTCATGATCGTAGAAAATTACCTAATTTTAAGCACTGACGGCGGAAACTGCTACAGCATGGAGAGTCTCTCTTAAACAATGAACATCTTTGTCCGCACAAACTATGGGTTGATTGTACGGAAAAGACTTTTTGATCAGCAGCTGCTGATTCTTTTCATATTTATTAATCCCTGACCAGTCTGACAACATATGAACATATGAAAACTATAATTCAGGTGACGCCTCTATCGGTGAAAGCAAGAAAAATCTACTTGCTTCAAGTAATCGTATCTCTTACACTATAAAACCCGGAAAATTGCATTGATTTCACGCATTAAGGTCGAGAAACACATGATCGGACGTCACGAACTTAATTTTGTGCCGGGTTTCACATAACAGGCATTTTTATTTCTAACCAACGAAATTGTGCCCGAAATATTTATCATGCGTTTTAATTTAGTTGACGGTCCATTTTTTAAAAGCGTTCTGGTTGATTTCAAGTTAGTTAGTGATTTTTCGTTAATTTAGGCATATTTTATGAGTTAAGTATTCAATCTTAAGTGCTCCAACCCCGCTATGTGAAATGTTAAATCAAAAATACATTTTATCCTGGCGAATACAAACTTCAATTCTACTACGTGGCCTGGCCTTGGCGTATTCTCAGGCCTTGTCGATACGGCTGTCTAATTTGCATTAAGTACAGACGACAATCATTCACCTTTGTGATGTGTTCCCACAGCTTTTCGTCCCTGAGGGCACCTGAAATTATGGCCAGATGAAGAATATTGCGTGATGACTCATCCAGAGCATGCAGGTCGGCGCCCAACTGAATCAGCGTCAGGGCTGCGGCGGTGGCACAGTTCTTGATCGCGAGTAACAACGGGGTACAACCCAACCAGTCGCGTAGTTCCATGGGTGATAGCTGGAAATGAGGAAGGGCATCAGTGAACCAGGTAGAAACCGCTAAATGTTCATCAGGAGAACATTTATAAAAAGAAGCCATTACCACTTCTGAACCTACAGTAGGTGGGCTAACTCATGAAATGTGTTTTTGTTTCGAAAAGATCATTAAGTGGGTTTGTAAAACAAGCCAGTCTGCAACATAATTCTGTATTATTTCAGTTATCTCAGAATACCGGATTTCGAATGAATTTCCGTCCGACTGCATGCAAAAACTACACTCTGTAAAAAACGACTGCTTAAGTAGCAAGAATGTTTCTTATTGATTTTCCATGTCCATAAAAGTCCAATTATAGTTCATGGGAAAGAAGCATAAAAGTATTCATTCCTTTGCTCATTCGGTAGAGCAGTACGTCTTCTTCTATTTTTGTGCTCGAAGAAGGGTAATAACTCGGTTTTAAAAAAGTTTCTAATTGTGGGACTTTTAAATACTGTGAAATGGGCGTTCATTAATCGTAATGTCACTACATTTACCAATGTGGCTTGTAAAGCTGACTTTATGAACCCTATGTGTTCTCCCTTTATTACCGTAGAGAAATGTGTGGTCTTCCGTACGCTGAAAATATATGGCTTGTAGTTTGGAACCCCCGAATCCAAGCGTGACGTTAGAGCGAGTTCAAAATTATTCGGGAATCGGAAAAGTTCTTGAAAACCGGATTATACCCTTCCTTCGAGCATAAGATTTTCGCAACGGAAACGCATTTCGGAATTTTGGTGGACATTTCATGAGTTACCCCACCTACTGTATGCAAACTGAGATTAAATCTTCACAAATCCAGCCAGTCCAGCATATTTTTCTCCGTACTTTTTGCTGACCGCTTTTTTTGATGCGACTCCAAAACAAATGCCGATCTGTCGAGGTCGTACTAAAACTTCACCGGATGACAGCAGTTCAAATAATCCTTTAGAATTCAAAATTTAACGTTTATGAGAACTCATTGTTACTGTGTATAAGTCCTTACGTGATCAGTATCTGTACCTAAAAACCTGCTTGTGAGAACTTGTCATTTGTTTACGCCAAAGAAAAGTTTAAAAATGGCAGTAATTTGGTCAGTGCTTAATGGGGCCAGTAATGAGCTTTTGAGATTTTAACTGTTAAATTGGAGGGGGTGATGATGTAAAATTGCGCTCGACCGACACTACGAGGAGGTAGGAAGAACAAAGAACACACGTCCGTATAAATGGTCGACGGACGTGGCCCTCCGTAAACAAAAGACTTGAATAAAGTTATTCCACATACTCAACACTGAATTCTTCATTTTAGTAGTCCTCCGTTCTGCTATCATTGGAATGGATTTTGACTAACTCTGTGGCGTGCCGGAGTCTAGTGTATTTGCAAGTGAATCAGGGAATATCGTCCAGGTGCAAGTAAAGTAAGCGAATCCAAGGTTAAATTTAACGTAGTTCAGGCATTTTATGTTTGCCTTGGTCACGAGATTGGTGCTGGTCGGGTTGTTAGTATGATCAGTTGAATATGGCACTGGGTCTGGACACACTTTTAAGTTCAGCCAGGTTTAAACTTGTCAGCCGCTTGAGTGGCAGAAAGTTGGATTCGAGGTTATCCGACCTGCAGTCGGCCGGTTAGCGGAAAAATCCCTCACCTCCCCCACAATTTCCCCGACTTCGCCCAGGCGGATGAAAACTCACGAAGCATTACTGTCTCGGGGGTATAAATGGTTAACTAAGCTTCGGGGTAGTTATTATGTCCATGATTTACACTGTTCATGAAGTCTTAATGACCATGTCCTCGGATGTGGCCGCCAAAGTGATTATCGTGTTAAGCAACACTCATGATTAACAAGAATGAAGTAATTCCAGTTAGCCTTCGTCGCTATTAGCACACAAAATTGTACGTCTTGTTCATTCGCCACAAGGTTTGCTGCCTCTGGTGCTGTGTTCGAGCAGTAACCCGAAACGGCCCTAAAGTGAATTCCTTGTCCCAGCGATCGAGTTGCGCCACAACTTCCAGTAGTCTTGACTCGTGTCATCCAAACATGACGTTTGTAAGGAGAAGAAAGATACAAATCGACTCCCAGCCGCTGCTAAAGGCTAGCGAACTTCTTAAAACCTGAAGTAGTGGATTAGAACTCACATGTTCAATTAACGCAGCAGTCATCTCGGCATGATTAAACTTTGCAGCCAAGTGGAGGGGGGTGCATCCCTGTTTGCAGACAGAGCAGAGCAGTTTCCCCGACTGTTCCGGCTGCCAGTCGAGGAGACGATTGAGAACTGTGATGTCGCCTCGGCGACAAGCGAAATGGACCGCGTTTAAATCTTCGTTTTGGGTGGCCTCGACACAGGCGCCCATTCTGAGACAAAACTGTTAAGACAAGGGGACAAAGTTGTAAAACTTCAGAGTACGAACATAAGACGGAAAAAGAAGAGATGATCGTTGGGAAAAGAAGTTTACTGGCCTGAAGTTTCTCATCCACCCGGCCTCATCGCATGAGGCAGCCGTAGATGAGGCTGATTGAGGCACAAGGAGCGTAATATTTATGAGCAACATTTGCGCCCATCGATGTGGGTCGTATCCGGTACGATTATGACATCTAAGTTGTAAACTATCGAAATGTAACCACTGTTGTGGAGACTTGACATGATAATCACTCAACTCCGATTATCGATTGTCCGCATCCTCCCCACATGAACGCTAACTTTGTTCAGGCAAATTCTCAGCACAGAATACAGGACTTGGCGTTTGCTCTACTTGCTGAATGGCTGGACGCCGTAAGACCATGCCTCAAGCAGCTCGCGGCTCACACAGTTGTCGTCTCTCGTGAGAATTTCAGCCTCGTCAAACTTGAAGATGGGGACCAACAAACCATTATCGCATCAGCGGGAGCCGCCAATTATAGCAGTCATGTAATAGCATGGCAAGTGCAGCCTTTTTTAGACTTTTTAAGTCTGAATATGGTTCATGGAAAAAGTTCATAAAATACTCTTTATTGTGCATAGTTGATAGCTACTTACGTCTTCTTTAAATTTTATGTCTAAAGCAGGAACATTTTTTGTTTTTAAAAAAGCTTTCAAGTGTAAAGTTTTTAAGACCACGAGATATATGTAATTACTAAGCATCCTATCCGCCCATTTATTAATGCTGCTTGAAATAAATGCAACATTGTTCACATCCACTGCAAAATTCTGTGAGCACTATATGGCATTTTTGTAAAAACACATGTTGACATGTGATTTTTCTTTGTGGATGATACACAGCTTATAGCTTCGAAACTTCGAATGCAATTACAGCGGCAGGTCAAGTTTGGAAGTATTCGGGATCAAGAAAGGTTTTTAAAACCGAAAGACACCCTCTTTGTGCGCAAAACATAAACACGATGTAGTTTGCTCCCAAATGAGCACAAGAAAAAACAATTCTGCGCATTTTTTAATGAAGTATGCTTGCACTTATAAGGGCGTCGAAAATCGATGGCAAAATGTACACCATAGTCATTATTTACAGAGGGCGGTTTTTAAAGGCGGTCGGAAAGAGGTTTCCTCATAAGCTGACATCCTGACATGACCGAAATACCTTATGATTACGCTGCGAAACACTCAGTCTTACAACCCTACTTAAGCAAGCTTTTCTAAAAAAGTCTCAATTTAGAATGTCAACCAACATTTCATGAGATAGCGCAGTTAATGTGGACGCGGCCTGGTGTCTAACTAGGCCGCGTGTGGCATATGTAAACTTACTGTCCCGGCTTTGTCAGCCACCGCACCCAACCCCTGCACCAGACAACTGACAAGCTCCGACTGTCAAATGGCGCGCGCGAGAGAGAGAGAGAGAGGAAAGTCGATTCTGGGGCACTCATTTTCACGACAGATCAGGACATGCCTCACTATCAGAAGCCTGACGCGCTTCGAAACTATCACCATGGGTGACTTTTTGGATTGGAAATCGGCCAGCCGATGAGATAACTCGATTTTCACCGCAACCTTGTGTGGTTCCCAATGTGACCTCTATGGCACCCCCACCCAGATGAAATCCGAGCCGCTTCCTTGGAGTTTCCGGGAAAACATGGTCCGTCATGCGCCGACTAGGCGTGTGGGACACGCGTGTAGACGGACTTGTGGCGGTCAAGGATGTGAAGTCAACTCAGACCACGCACAATAAATTCGTTTCGTCTAATGTCAGAAGTCAGGGAGCTGTGAGGACTAGTTTATTCTGTACACGGGGCAGGTTGCCGTAAGTTGGCTGTTTGCTTGCAACAGAGATAAGTGTCCATTCACGGAGAGCGTAAGTCGCGGTGTGTTGTTTACGCGGGCGTGAGTGTCTGGGTCAGCAGGAGGGTGTGACGGTCTGAGTGTTGGTCGTGTGATTGGACAAATAAGGGGAGGAATGGAGGGCGCATACCCACAAGGCCTCACGGGAATCAAGCCAAAGCGATCGACGCGCGTTAGGTGATACTAGTTTGTGAGGGCAGCCGGGAGTCACTGCAGCTGGACAGGAGGGGCCCCAGTTCTAGACGGTGTGGGTGGTCGTGTGTCAGCAGCCTGTCAGTGCTTGTCGCGGCCATCGACCGACAAAACGGAGCCGGAGAAAAAGGGGGGCTGGAGCGGCTGCTACAGACTGCTTGACTTAGTCAGCCATTTTGCCCGCTTCTCTCTCCAGTTGTTCACCGTAATCTTGCCACAGTGCCCAAGTGTTTGAGAGGGAGGGGGTGCAGTAGAGGCTGCGGAAGTCCACCCCACTATGAATTAATTCACGCCTAAGTCGCCTGTGCTACACCTATTCCAAGGGACACGCGGTAGGCATCGTCGCATGCGACGACCGAACTTTCCTGTACTGGTTGTTTTGACATTGTCTTGTTATCGGGGCTGATGAGCAACAGATGAGGGAGTGTGGTAGGTGCTGCGCAAGTCAGCGGGACATCGTCGTTCGCGAGGGCGGAGCCGACATACGGAAGTTGAGGGATGATGGCGGCCACAACCATGACGTGCTAAAAATAAAGCTGATTTATTTCTTGCAGAGATGGGATGCCTGGTCACCATAATTTCCCCTATTTTCTGTCTGCGTGACTGTCACTGATGATGGGTTCAAGTGAGAATCCGAAACATCAGGCCAATAAATTTCTTATTCGAGTAGTCGAATTTTCATCTTCTGAACTGCTTCCTGGAGCTCACCTGTTCGCTTCTACTGACGGCATTTATCACAAAATAAAAATGCTCAGGGGTGCACAGGTGTAAACGGAGACCTGAATGCTTATTCAGGCCAGTCTGATTAGACCAGAGGCACTTCAGTCTGGCAACTACCACTGTATTCATCTCACGTACGTCGATCATCTCCAAGTTGCCGCAGTTTACTGCTGAGTGCAGCGGTGTCTCCCCCTCACTGTCAGTCAGGTAGATTAAGTGCTGATCACTGAAGTTAACCTCGCTGTAGTTCGGAGCGTTGGTGGTTTCGTGATTGAAAAGCCTCTGCAGGCATTCAGTACTGCCGGTGAGGACGGCCACATGGACACCATAATAGCCGACAGCATCGGCCCTGTAGATATCAGCTCCAGCCTGCAACTGTAAAGAGCAGTTGTGTGGGAAAGTATCATCAAGTAAGAGATTATCAGCGAAAAGAACAGAGGAGACTAGACGTTGCAACTTTTGGCGGGAACGAATTCGGCCCTCCACCCTACACCCTTACTGCTAGTACTTATGTCTTCATCTTAACTGTTAAAACGAGCATCTCCTAAGGGAACAGATTCACGTAGTTGACTGTCCTCTTTCTATGATCACTGCCAACGTGACCTCGACCTTATTTTGATAAAGACAGTTGAATTATAGCTTAGGCATGAAGGGTACCCTTAAAGTTATGTACATGGTGCCGCGGTCTTGTCCTTAAATCTATTCGACAACCGACTGTCAGCCACTTTGCCACCACCGACGTGAAGTGTGACCCCGCACTTTCGGGGTAAAGCGAGAATACCCATTTGCGTTCGCGGTTAGGGCAGATTATCTTTCCTACACAATGGACGACTTGATTATTATGACTTTGAGGAAGACGTCAGTTAGCTTCACTACCCATATACTTGGCAGTTGATAGTTCAGACGCATATCTCGCATATTATCTGCCACCGGAAACACAACTGAGAGGGGTTGAGCTAGTTGGTTGATCTTTCAGACCCTCCATTTTGCGCTGTTAGAAATAACTGCGTGAACTCAAATTGGAGTTCGTCGTCTAGTTTTCAGGTCCGACCCCGATGTTTATATAAAAAATTTAAGCAGAATTACTAAAATCGGTAGCGAAAAAGCCGCGCACTATGAGTGCTTGTCATCTTAAAAGTAGCACTAGTTGTCCGAAGTAAGTGGTTTAGATAAATACCCTGCAAACTGGCTACATCATGGTTTACATGCGGCAGGAACTACAATCGGTTCGAGGGCCTCCATCGAGGTTTTCATAAGAATTAGCCTATAGAAGGGCAGATTTATATCCCTTACCCTTTGTCCCAACCATAATGAGCCAATGGTGGGTCAGAAGCAAAAAGATATAACAAAATACCGAAGACAGTCAATCAATTGACCCAAATTCCCCAAATCTACGTGTCAAAACACGAATGTATCCGCCGTACTGCGCGAAGCAGACCACGCAAAGCGAGAAAGACTGCCGTCCGACCTCATACGGATAAACATGTCAAGTAAACGCGTGACCCTTGTGGCAGTTCGCGTCTCCTTGCCCTCCGCCTTTGTCACGCTGCCTTCCTGTCCGCCTCACGCTCTTTGTCGATACACTGCTGGGACGCGCGAGTGCTCCAGGCCAATCAACGCTGTCCCCCCTCTGATTGGCTGGCGGACGCGGAGACAACGCAGGGCGCACACACACACCCGCGAACACAACACCAGGAAGGCGGACACAGACAACAACTTGCCTGGAGAGCACACTTGCGGCGACTGCCCATACAGCATTGGTGTACACGCTTTCCAAACAGTAAACGTTGTCCCACTCATTCCGCCTTCCCTGACTTTTGATTGGGAATCTTTATCTTGCCGAGCACACGACATTCGACACCCTCACTGTTGTGGATAGGAACTTACTTGATCCCATTCTGTCCACCCGCCAGCTTGCAACTGACGACAACCAACGTTGTGTCATAGGACACATACCACACATAATACACAAGCAGCTCACTAAGACTGTAACAGGCTAGACGCAGACAGCTGTTTCGCGGTCATTGCCGATCATCAGTAAGTCACAGGCCATATAAAGTAAGGTACATAAATATGCCAAGTAAGCGTTTGATGATCGGCAATGGCTGTGAAACGGCTGTCTGCATCTAGCCTGTCGCACTCTTAGTGAACTGCTTATGTGTCATCTGGGTAACTCTAAAAACCGAAGTGATTGCCAGCTGCGACGGGATGTAGTATTACTGAGTTACAAAGTAGAAGCGAGTACTAGATAGGGGACGCGCAATGCCCTTGACGCTTTTGTGAGCCAGAGTGAACTGCCAACTGTATCCGCTACAAGGAAATAAAAGTGCATTGATTCGGACTATTCTATGTTTATTTTGGTCTAACTGATCTTGTAATTAGGCCCTAATTTTATGGTCAATTATCTGACAAATTTGGCTCCCGACTTATGATAAAATTGAACTTCTTCATCAAAACTGATGACTGTGGATCATGTTTTCAAAAATTCAGTCATTTCTTTTCGAAACTCAGTAAGCTGCCAGCTTTCCATATACGCGGACATTATTGGACTCAGACAGTTCGGAGCGCGCCAAATGTTTTCAATTTTGGCAACCATTTATTTCTGCGATCCCACTGAATGGTACTGCTCATGGTGCATTTTTATGGTATTAGAGATCTAAAAATAAAGTTTAATGCAAATAGATATAAGGAACGGTCATGGAGTTTCACTTTCTTCGTCAACTATTTTTCACCGAACAAACCCTACTTGCAGGAAGCAGCAATTATGAAAAAACAAGAAAATGATAAGTGCAATCCGCATATATATACATATATTAAAAGGAGAAGGCTCGTCGGAAAATCGAGGTATACTCGTGAATTTTCAAGTCGGTTACACCAACCCGTCGTCAGACGAAAATGAAAAGTGTGAGGGACATAATCCTACTGGGGAGTCAGGGGGACATCGAGGTTACATCGACAAGATAGGCGTTTATGTGTGGGGGTGAAGAACGTGTTTGGATAGGTGGTGTACGTTAGGGGTGGTGTTGGGGTTTCACACATGGTTCACTCTGTGGGGGAGGTGCTGAATCCATGATATTCTACATGGCCGAACATGGATTAGCAGTTGGTGGCTTAGGGTGGGCGCAAGCCGGCGAACCGTGAACGTAAGCCTTCGTATTGAGCGTCCAAGTCGACATGGCGGTTGATGCTATTGCTAGTAGAGTGTCAAGCTTCTAGAAACTCTCGCGCTTGTTTGGTGTTGGCACTAGCGATCACTTCGGTCCCCTCCCAGTTGAAGCGGTGATCACACTCAAGGGAGTGCGCAAACACGAGAGACAAGGGGTCCCGTCGGCGGATGGCCAACTTATGTTCGTTAATGCGGGTCCCAAGTCGTCGGCCGGTATGCCCTACATAAACGCTAGAGCAGTTTGAACATGCGAAGTCCCTTCGCTTCAAGCCCACTCTACCAAATGAGACAGGAAGGCTTCTCGCACGCAAATACGGATTCCGTGTATTGAGTGCCATTATATCAGACGTGCACCACCGACTTTCTAGATTTGAGACAATAATCTCCGACCTTAAGAACCAGTGCTTCTCATCCTTACCCGAAGATATCTTCGAAGTCATACTACAACGTATAAATGCGACCTCAACAGATGCCAGAATGAAGAAGCGAGCCGAGTTGAATGATAAACTGCAATCCCTTCTCTGTCCTACCGACAAGTGCAGCATGTCTGCGAGAGTCGTTAACCTTTCGAAAAGGAGTCTAACACCCGCCGAGATAAGCCTACTGTCTAAAGGACTTAAATTCAATCATACCGATGCAGCACCAACAAACTTCCTAGCGAGTCTTGAATCCGTCCTACTGGCTTCTGCTATCCCTGAAGGCGTACGTGCGGACATACGCAGTTGTGCCAGTGGTCTTCTTCGACAAAGAAAACGTCACTGTAACTTGACCGTCGATGAAGAAAAAGGGTTGCGATCTCTGAAGACTGATGACAGTATCGTGGTTGTACCTGCTGACAAAGGAAGCGCAACCGTCATCATGGACAAGGTTGATTACGTTCGAAAAGCAAACACTATCTTTAATGACAGGGAAGCTTACGCACCACTCGCTGAGGACCCGACGAAGAAGCAGGCCGCGGTTATAAAGAAGAAGGTGAATGAACTCGCTCGACTGAAGCTGATTAACCCAAATGACTCCAAATTCATGACTCTCACTGACCCCCGTATCGCGCATGCCTATGGCCTTCCAAAAGTGCACAAACCAGATGCACCATTGAGGATAATAGTGCCATTCATCGGGTCGCCCACTTACAGCCTAGCCAAATGGCTTTACAGGCATCTGAAGCATCTCGCTGATGGATCACAGTACAGCATCACAAATTCTCAGGCATTCCTCCAAAGGATTGAAGGTCTTAAAGTAAGTCATGATGAAAGTATTCTATCATTTGATGTTGTCGCATTGTTTGCCTCAATACCACATAACCTTGCCATTGAGAGCGTGGCCCATCGCTTACGAGACAATCCCATCGACCTTCCAACACATCACGTTCTAGAATTGCTTAAGCTCTGCCTCAATAACTATTGCCAATTCGATGGCAAATACTACCAGCAGGTTGAGGGCACCCCAATGGGTTCGCCAATTTCGGGGCTACTTGCAGAACTAGTCTTACAACGACTAGAACAAGATGTTGTGCAATGTTTCCAACCAAAAACGTGGCTCAGATACGTAGATGACACATTTGTCATCGTTAAGACCTGTGAAGTTGAGCGATTTCACCAGAGCTTGAATGGCGCCTTCCCAGCACTACAATTCACTCGTGAAGACGCAAAAGGAGGCACCCTCCCGTTCCTAGACGTGAGCACACAAAAGCTCAGTGACGGCGGCATCGCAACAAGCGTTCATCGGAAAAGCTCTGATGCTGAGATCATCCTGAGCTATCAGAGTAACCACCCAGCAGCCCATAAAAGAAGCTGTGTTCGAACCCTTTTCCACAGGGCCTATCGTTACTGCAGTAGCGCCGATTTACTCAAAGATGAACTGGCCTACTTGCATCGCTTTTTCCGACTCAACGGATACCCGGCGAGCTTTGTGAAAAATTGTCTCAGACGGCAGCAACAACCACAAAACGTCAACTCTAACGGAGACAGGGTATCACGGAAATTCTATTCCCTGCCCTACATGCCGAGAATTTCCGAAGCGATCGCTCGACAATTAAATCGATTCGGTATCTCCATCGCCCACAAACCGGCGTCTTCATTGCGCACGACATTATCCCGGGTAAAAGACCCCATACCGAAGGAGCAGCAAACAAATGTCATTTACCGCATTCCATGTTCAAACTGCTCTAGCGTTTATGTAGGGCATACCGGCCGACGACTTGGAACCCGCATTAACGAACATAAGTTGGCCATCCGCCGACGGGACCCCTTGTCTCTCGTGTTTGCGCACTCCCTTGAGTGTGATCACCGCTTCAACTGGGAGGGGACCGAAGTGATCGCTAGTGCCAACACCAAACAAGCGCGAGAGTTTCTAGAAGCTTGACACTCTACTAGCAATAGCATCAACCGCCATGTCGACTTGGACGCTCAATACGAAGGCTTACGTTCACGGTTCGCCGGCTTGCGCCCACCCTAAGCCACCAACTGCTAATCCATGTTCGGCCATGTAGAATATCATGGATTCAGCACCTCCCCCACAGAGTGAACCATGTGTGAAACCCCAACACCACCCCTAACGTACACCACCTATCCAAACACGTTCTTCACCCCCACACATAAACGCCTATCTTGTCGATGTAACCTCGATGTCCCCCTGACTCCCCAGTAGGATTATGTCCCTCACACTTTTCATTTTCGTCTGACGACGGGTTGGTGTAACCGACTTGAAAATTCACGAGTATACCTCGATTTTCCGACGAGCCTTCTCCTTTTATTATATCGCCTCGGAATGCATACTACCTCCATTATTCATATACATATATATATACATATATATATATATATCAATCAGGAATGGGCGCAAACCGATCTATTGGCTTCACAAAGCAAACAAGCTCCGTATGTGTGGCAAAGGTCACGAACAGGCAACCAATTACCAGGCCGAAGTCGGCCAAGTCATAATAGCAGCGAGGAGGGACGACACACATACGGAGCTTGTTTGCTTTGTGAAGCCAATAGATCGGTGTGCGCCCGTTCCTGATTGATAAATACCCGATCTGCAGCGACAGAGGATGACAGGTAGCGAGACACTGATGAACTTCGGTTCGATGAAGTGCTTATGACCCATCTGTTAGGCCTCAGTGGTGGACCGACTGCATCAGGTGCGTCTGTGCGTATGTTTGTGTTTCTGGTCGCAGCTGCTGGTGGTCAGGTTTATGATTGGCTGAATGAAGGCAGAATAAGCCCGAAACAGTGCTGTATCAATCTACCCGCATTCTCTGTCGTCTCTCCTCGCTGCTATTATGACTTGGCCGACTTCGGCCTGGTAATTGGTTGCCTGTTCGTGACCTTTGCCACACATACGGAGCTTGTTTGCTTTGTGAAGCCAATAGATCGGTGTGCGCCCATTCCTGATTGATAAATACCCGATCTGCAGCGACAGAGAATTACAGGTGGTGAGGCACTGATGAAGTTCGGTTCGATGAAGTGCTTATGACCCATCCGGTAGGCCTCATTGGTGGACCGACTGCGTCAGGTGCGTCTGTGCGCATGTTTGTGTTTCTGGTGCCAGCTGCTGGTGGTCAGGGTTATGATTGGCTGAATGAAGGCAGAATAAGCCCGAAACAGTGCTGTATCAATCTACCTGCATTCTCTGTCGTCCATCCTCGCTGATATATATATATATATATATATATATATATATATATATTCTGCCCAGATCGTCGATGGAATAAAAAACTGTTCAATTAGAGGCACCCTTGAGTTTGCGAATGTGCTAGTGAAAAACCAGCCCCTTCTTGTTCGACACTAACCTATGTTTGCGTGTATGTGATCTATTGCAGAACCGCTGTTCTTCGAAAGTTCTATCGGAGCACATCTAGACTAGAATGGAAAACCAACTTACCACGACATCCAGACATTCGACACTGTTCTTGCGGCAGCAGCAATGAACGACAGTGCTGCCAAATTCGCCGGGTGCATTGATATCGATCGCCGAAGTATGAAGCAGTTTCTAAACTCCGCAGAAAGTCTTAGGTTAAAAAAGGTGAGGAATTCTAGGGAAATATTTTAGAACAAATATTTAGTTTTAGGATTACTGGACTCGCAACAGTCCGTTCTGACCTAGCAAATTAAGAGCACTGCATACGCAACAGTTTTCAACCACCATTGGTTTTCAGCTGTGTCGACGAAATTAAGCCCCGATAAAGAATGCATAAGTACATTTTTGAATTATTTAAAAATGCAAGTCAACCACAATAATATCGCTCGATCACTGATTAGCAGTAACTATATTACCGGCTACTTTTGCTCTAGACTCGGAGCTGCTAGACGTGTGGTACCTCGGCTATTGCCTTTCATTCAGAGCTGATCAATTTAATCCATTCTCATGGGTACTTTGGCTGCCCCAGAACATGTTGGCCTTCTTGGTAGGATCGAGTAGACATACTCCCGCTCGTCCGGTTGTGATGTGTGTGAAAGGCATTTCATCGCCTTCTTTTCCACATCTGCTATCAGCGTTTTGCTGAGCAGGTGCTACTTGTTTTCCAATTTAATCGTGACACTTCCATGAACCCGCTCACGTTGCCTCATATTGTGGTAAGCAACAGATTACGGCGTGGAAACTTTGGCCACAGTAGCAAAGCCTCCGAATGGCGTCAAGCAGTGATTAATGCCGCTGGATAGTTAGGGAGCGTATGAATTGTTGTTATCCATTTTCAGCGAGTTTATTCGAAGCGAAGAGGTCTTCCTCTGCGGACAATTCATTTTACAACGATTCTCCTAGAGCAAAACTTGGGCATTTTTGGGTAAAGACAGGCCTTTCCCTATATCCAGGCCATCTTCTTTGCTGCTGAGTGTCACCGGCCAAAGTCGCATGTTAGAGCATGTCCTACTGTGAAGAAATAAGAAAATGCGACAAAAGGCGCACTTTAAAGCGGGAAAAGCTGAATTCAGCCCCACGAAGGTCGTGAAATCCCAGATGTTGAAAATGCATTCGTCTTAGGGGTAGGGAAACGAATTCAGTTTTTCAAACTTGATCCGAAAATTCGCGATATGATCCGCCATAAGACGCGTTATGAGGCTAGCACAAAATCATTTGCTTTGTTGCACTAAGAACTGTGAGGCATGCGCAAATATAGAAGAAACACCCTCAATATGGCGACGCTTTTTTCGGCCACGCTGAACGATAAATCTGTTGAGACTTTGGGCAGATACGTGAAGTAACAGACAAAGAACTGCCGCAGGATCCTCTGGCAAATTCTCTTAATATTAAAAGGCCAATGTTTGCCGAGTTGTTTTTTAGACCTGTACCCAGATATATGATAGATGAATCAAAACGGTTCACATTTAGGCCGGACGACGACTTTGTTTGCCATACTCCATAAAGGCATTAGGATGTGCCCAGCAGGTCATTTACGGGAGCTTTTTTAAATGCTCCGTCGGTACATAATTAGCGATTGGACAAAGGGATTCGGCAGTCCCTTGCAATAGGACTTCTGATGAGTACGTCCGTTATCAATCGTCATTTGTATTAGCATTTAGTTCAGCGCTGAGGTCCTCGTTTTTGATACTCCGTTATCATAATCATCCTTGTCATGATTATATTCTTCGAGTTTAGATAGTTGCTGCCTTATCTGCCAACATTCAGGGCGAAATCGGAGAGTTTTTGATAAGATTTTACAGATTTGAAAGACTACGCCTGAACTGTGTGCGAGCGTCAAAGAATTGGAAAATGTACACAAATGTGCGTAATTTCAGAATTCACAAATATAGCGTTGCTGATATAACTCATGAATTGTCGTGATCGATATTCGTGTGGACAGTACGGCATACATTTGGTGTTGGCATTTTTGTTTGTTGAATGAAACTAAAGCGCAGAAAGCTCCTTCAAAAAAATTATTTTAAATCCATTTTATAAAGGCGAAACCGGCCAGATCCTATGCTTCTTCATATCCAAATGATTTCCTATGCCACTGAGTATAATAGGTCAAAACCTCCTTCTTGTTCGCGTTGAACTGTAAAGAACAGTAATTCAGGCATGAAACATTTGCAATGAGTCCTTTTTTGAAAGCGTGAACTCGGATTTCGCGTCAAGGGAGATCAACACGCCTTCAGCTAACAATAAGGTAGTCGACGGGTCCTCCGTCAGCCTCAACCTTTATCAATCACTTAATTTGTTATAAAGGCATTAAGAAAATGGGATTGAAACGCGACTAACTCACTTTCAACGATTCAGCGTCATTGAGTTCGCAAGCCAGATGAATGGGTTGAACACCCTTCTCATCTGCCATCTCCACATTACTGCCCAATGAAATGAGATGAAGAAGAGCCGCAGTTTGGGAATGCGTAATGGCAAGATGCAGGGGTGTGTAGCCCTGAACGTTCCTCTGGTTGATATCTAGACAGCAGTGGCACGGAAGAGGCATGCTGAGCGAAAACGATATTTACCCCCTCAATGCAAAATGCTCGCAATAATGCTGGACTTCTGCATATTAATGAAACACATGGAAATGTTCGGACTCGGGAATTAAAGTCTCCTCAACTTTGAAGGAGGATTTAGTCTAGTGCTAAGGTAAGGTTAATGAACGGCGTTAGTCAGAGTATGGTTAGGGTTGCGGTTAAGACCATGAGGATTAGGGTTTGTGTTATAATTGGTGCTGGGAGGATTTGGGGTGTGGGGGGGTAGACCTAGGTGCAGATTCTCGCCGTACCAGCCACTTGCGCCCTCTCCGCCTCCGGTATTCTTGACTGCCATGACTCCAAGATCCGGTGGGGGGGGGGAGGTAGACGAGAGTACGACAGATAGATGCGTTAATTACTACCACTTGAAACTAACTCACACGCAAGTCACCGTCTCTACTCTTAGCCTGCCGTAGAGCACCCGGTTGACACCGCCGGAGACTACGGCTGAACTGCGGTTAGAAGGGTAAGAATTAGGTTTAAAGCAAGGACACGGGAACAGGTACCGTCTGAAATTTAGAGCAAGGTTACTTGTTGTACGGAGGGGAGGGGTAGGAGTAGCCAAGGTCCTCTCCGACCGAAAGATTTAAAATAGCTGTCATCCACCGTATGGAATTGACTGATTTAACAAGCTTTTTACTAATCTTCGTGCCCTTCTTCCTAGTTTATGCCAATAAGTTATTAAAATCGAAAAACATTATATCTCGAACAGAATGGTAATTAATCAGAATCAAACTACGCATCAAGTTAACCGTTCTATTCTAGAGACATTTGAGTTGACAAAGTTGACGGTTGCTTTCAACTCAGCGAATCTGTCCATCGTCGTCTTTTTGTCATCCCAGCGCTCCGGTGATGCGAAATAGAGCTATAGGCTGTTTTTGCTAACACCTGTGCTAGCCGCATCGTGGATCACGCAACGGTTGTTGAAGGCTTAGGGATGTGACGCGGTTATCCAGTCGAAGGTGCTGGATTCCGGCTCAAATACTCACACTGTCTTCCGGTTGGAGCCTGTATAACTTCATTCCGTGGGCATTTACTCCTAGTTAACGCGTTAGTTTCTAAGGGGATCCAAAGGCTGAAAACTCAACAATGGGTTATCAAGCATAAATAGGATACCAATAGCAGCATTCTGACGGAACCTGAATTATGTACTCTGAGTCGACGGTGAAATTTTGGGGGAAAAGTGAGATGATCTAACATTAAAAGGGGCAAATACCAGAAAACACGTAGGGAATAATGGGGACTCGCCGATGAGTCGAAGCTCTCGCAACTATGTAATGCAGTGTCAGAATATCGGTAAAATCCCATTCGGGCTGTGCTGTCAGTCAGCCGTGTTTAAAGTCCAGACACTGATATTCACCTGTTGTGGCCGCGCGATCGCACTTAAGACACTAGGCTGGAAATCAAAGGTAAAATGAAACCAGCATCTTCCTGCAACCAGGCAGGAACAGTGGCGGGTCAAAGCGACTCTGCACTGTTTGCGGATAACTCCCTTGAACAACCCAATGAAGTCAAAGTAGGGGACGACATCGCTATCCATTCGCAAAACGAAAGCTTCACATAGTCCGTGTTTTGCCTCGCATAAGGGACATCTCCAACGCCACTGAACGCATGCAAAGAACGCTCATCGTGGGCCTCGGAAACCAGCCGGAGATTACAATTCGCCGCTTGCTCATACAGCCGAAGAGCAGGCTACCGCTTGACGACAAGTCAGAAGTTGTTTTCCGTTTTAACGGTCTAGACAGTCTGGTCAACTGCTACAGCAGGTCCGACAAACGACCAGGGACACGTGTGCATGAGCACGTCTTAGCAATAGAGCATAAAGATGTACGGTCGCTGTTTCGTGGCAAATTGCGTCATCTCCGGGATTTCTGCTTAAAGCGAGAGTATCTTTGAGTTTCGAAAAGCTTCTCATCATTGGATTTTTAAGACCATGAAATGTCCGTTCATGCAGCATCATCTCAGCATGGTTATTATTGGGACATGAAAAGTACACTACTTAGTCGACATTCATTTGCTATTTTGCGTCCTCTATAAGGTCTTCCTAACAGGATGGAGAAATCTTTGATAGTCCTTCAGTTTAAAGTTTGTAGTCTGGAAATCCTGAGTGTAAGTGTCACGGTAGATGAGGGATAATTAGTCGGAAATTGAAAACGATTCAAAAACCGAAATATATCCCCTCTTAAAGCAGAAAATTTGGAGGAGACGCAATTCGCTATCCAGCGAGCACATGGAGGTACATTGTTGCTCACGTTTTTTTTACAAAATATAATTGAATTTACGACGGCATCTATACAGAATGTGGAAATTCATTCTTACTAACTAATCATTTTTTTAAGAGGATATTTCTTGCGGACGACTGAAAATAAAGTTATTTAAAACCCAGCATCTTAGGATTGTATTGCACGATAATAAGTGTTGCAGCCCTTTTCAAGTCTCCCTCTTGAATCGAAAGCATATTTCGCAAGTTCTGTTAACATTTCATGAGATAGCATATATACAGCATCAGCAGGCAGTAAGAGGGAATTATTTAAAACGTGCGTTTTCCATCCTGTCCATATCTGAGTATGCCCTGAAGTTCAAGTGAGAAAGGCCAGATTGGAAAACCACCTCTCAAAAGATTGCCCTGCCATCTACTTCCATGTCTGCATAAACATACTCATATGGTGGATCAAAATATACAGTTAAAATTGACATGCGTAAAGTTAAAATTAAAAACGCTGAAGCAGCTCGCATCTTCTATTAGTATTTTCCCAATCGCTTTACGATTTCTTTAATATGTTTCCTGAATCGGCACACTGATAGCCGTATGTACAGTAGGTGGACTAACTCATGAAATGTCAAACAAAATTTCGAAATGCGTTCTCGTTTCGTAGAGTTTAATTACGTAGTTTTGTAAAACTAATCATCATTCAGCATAGTTCTATAATTATCCAGTTACCCCAGGGTCTCGGCTTTCGAATGCACTTATTTTGACTTCATGTAAGAGCTATAGTCTGCAAACAATGACTACTCAAGTGGCATGCATTCTTCTCATTGATTTTCAATGTGCTTGAAAATTTGATCATATCTCATTGAACGCATAAATAAAAATATTCACGCTCTTGCTAATTTGGTAGAAAATAACGTCTTCTTTCAATTGATACTCGAATGTAGGGTATAATTCGGTTTTAAAAACGCTTCTAATTGTGAGCTTCTTTAATAACGTGAAGTGGCCGTTCATAAAACGTCATGTCTCTGCATTTATCAATGTGGCTTGTGAAGTTAACAATATGGCTTAAGTCAACTGCTAAATTTGACTAATCCCACAAGGTTTCCCCTTCGTACCGTAGATAAATGTACGGTTTTTCGTGCGTGGGAAATATACGGCTTGTAGTTTGGTAATCAATAATGCAAATGCAACCGCAGGTCCGGTTTAAAATTATTCGGGAATTAGAAAAGCTTTTAAAATTGAATTTTACATTCCCTTTGAGCATAAAATGGAAGAAGACGTCATTTTCTATGGAATGCGTAAAAGAATGAATAGGTTTATGCATGGTTTGCATTAGGTATACTGCATTTTTAAGAGCCTCGGAAATCAATGGGACAATGTATGCTACATAAGCAGTCATTTTTACGGAGTATAATTTTTACATGCAGCCGAAAAGGAACTTGTTCGAAAGCCGACATCCTGGGGTAACTGGATCATTATAGAATTATGCTGCATGCTTATTAGTTTTACAACCTTACTTTATTAATCAGTTCGAAATAAGAGCGCATTTCGAAATTTCGGTTGACATTTTATGAGTTATCCCACCTACTGTACAGGCAAGCGCGTCAGGATGGGGTCAGAGCAATAGAAATCTTGAAAAACGTATTGATCGGGATCATTAAATGGACTGTAATTACCAGCTCCGCGAGAAACAAGAAGGTCGATCATTTGAAGATGGCCACGACTGACGGCGTAATGAATAAGGTAGTTGCCCTTTGCGTCGCACAGTCGAACCAGATCAGGTCGTTCAATTAGCATGTCACAGAGGACACCGGTGCGATTCTGGTTTACACACTAAAAAGTTTAAAATAATGTATTCAGGACAGAATTAACATTTTGCTGTTTTTTCGAACTTGGAGATATTTGGGCATGTAAAGTTAATTACGCAGAATTTTTGAGTGATTTTACCCGCCAGTCTAGAAACGTCAAAGGTCGTTCCGACTATGCATTGAGGGTAACGAAATTCGGGGCATAGGCCTCAACATAGTAAAAGGTGCGTTAACGACCTCTTTTTAATTACAAAAATAGCTAAAGACCAACGAAGAAAATGTTTGGCTCTGTGATATCCAGTATGCTCATCAAAGTATGTGTGTGTCGGATGAAAACCCTAAAAGATTCCTCTCCTCCAAGCGCCAGTACTGTCCAAAACAGCTCTTAGAACTTAATTAACACTTTATCGCACCCAATTCAGCTTTTCATGTTCCCAGAGTTGCAGTAACATTTAATTCCGTTTTGCTTTAGTCAATTACAATACGCTTTTTAACGAACTTAACACAACTTTGAATGAGACATAGAGCATGCGCGAACATTTTTACCTGCTGACGACTTTGTCCTTATAAAATAGGTTGTAAATGCTGAGATACTGCTATCTTCGTTTCCTGGACAGCCCACTTTCTGTGCCCAATTAATGGGCGTATCACTTACAAAATGTTAACATGATTGAAGTTTTCGGAAAGCGTAGACAAATAAAAGTAGCTTGGTATTTTGAGTGCCACCTGGAGATTCATTGCGAATCAAATTGCCACTCACCGAAATCGCTGATAAAAGATCGGAGCGATGGTCAGACAGGTTATCCTGTATGACAGAGAAGAAAATGGAACTGGCTACATCGCTCTGAGAGTTTCTCCGTGAACGCACAGTGCGCTCCACCTCGCCTTGGTTCTTCCATAATAGCAAGTTTTCCAGTGCCGCCGGCACACCCCAAGAATTGGTATCCAGACCCTCCTCGGAGGGATCGGGCTGTAACCTCGGACTCGAGCCTTGGACTGAGGAAAGATCCACATGCGGCGTCGATGGTGGACTTATTCGGCTTTCTCTTGGACTTTGAATCGGCAGGATGATGTCAGGAATGATCATTCTTGGAGGGGGCTTTGGAGGAAGCGCGCTTAACCTGAAGATGCAAAAGACAACGCTTTTTAGAATTAGCATCACAGGTACCCTGGGCTGAACTGAAGAAACCACATAATGCCAAAGTCTGACGTTTGAATCGAATGCAAAAGCCTAGTGAAAAGAATAATCAGGCTGTTTAAATACCATGCGAAGAATTCTCTATTATCTTGAGACGTTGTATCTAGGGCTTACTTGGAGGAGGACAAGGTCTGAACGAAAAGCATCAACTGTAGTGCTCTTGGTTTTTTTGCGACATATTTCTCGACTTTAAAACCCACTCATCGGTCTCTTTGTCAGACAGACAGGGCAAACTTAAGCCATACTGAGGCAAGTTGAAACCATGTTTTAACTGGCACCTATTTTGAAATAGATTGTTAATATGGGCTTCCCAGTATTACTAAAAAGATACTTCCAGTAGGTGGGCTGACTCAGGAAGTGACAAGCAAAATTCCGAAATACGTTTTGGTTTCGAAAAGATTGATGAATAATTAATAATTTTGAACCCCACCTGTCATTGCACTTGCATTCAGAGTTTTCAAAATACAATCCGTACATTTACCGCGTATGGAAAGCAAAAATTTCTCTAGACTATTAAAAAGAGGCCACATGGGGCTCTTAAAATGTACAGTGAGTGACCGATCTCCTGAAATGTTCGTCAAAATTCTCAGATGCGTTTCCAATTAGGAAGGATTAATTAGGTGAGATTGTAATAGTGATTATTTTACGGCGTGATCCTATAATATCCCGGACTCGGAAGGATGTCAGTTTTCAAATGCACGTCTTTTCAATCTCCTATAGAAGTCGTGCTCAGCAAAAAATGTATACTTAAGTAGAAGGCATTTTTCACATTGATTTTCGATTGTCTTGCAAATTCAAACCTATTTTATAAGAAATGTTAACCAAAGTATGCTTCCTTTCACTCGTTTGATAGGAACTACCTCATCTTTATAATTTATACTGGTAGAAACAGCATAATTAGGTTTTAAAAAGGTTTCCGAATTCCCGAGTAATTTGGAGCCTAATCAGCCGTTGCATTAGCGCCTATTGATTGCAGTTTACAAGCTTCACGCGTTCCGCGTACAGAAAATTACATATTCTTCTACGCCTTTAGAAAGGCATCATTTAGAATCCATAAAATCCTGCAGTGGATGCGGGCTATGTTTTACATTTCATGAGAAGCAGTGGTGAATGAACAGGTACGTTGCTGTTTGAATAGACATCGTACGGTCTTAAAAAATCTCATAATCAGAAACTTTTTTAAAACCTTATTATACTTTGCAGGCCACATTCGTAGATGCAGAGACATGAAGTTTTATGAAAGAGCATTTCATGATATTAAAAAATCTCACGATAAGATATTTTTTAAAACCTGATTATACCCTTTCTTCAAGTATAAAATTGAAAGAAGTCGTAATTGTCTTCCAAACGAGCAAAAGAACGATTATTTTTATGCATGTTTTTCGTGAAATATAATTGATTTTTTAAGGGCATCTAAAATAAATATGAGAAAAACATTCTACAAAAGTGGCAATTTTTTACAGATTATAGTTTTTGCATGCAGCCGGCAAATATTTCGTTCGAAAGCCGGCATCATGAGGGAATTTAATAATTATAGAACCATGCTTTACGTTGATTAGTTTTAAAACCCTGATTAATAAATCTCTTTGAAACGAAACCGCACTCCGGAATTTTGTTTGACATTTCATAAGTTAGCCCACCTGCTGTGTTTATTGATGGCATCAAAATAACGCTGTGGCTGTTTAACCACAATTGTTGCCAGCTAATCTCACGGTTTTTATACTAGACTGACATTACGTGGGCAGTCTAGATCTTCAAAACTCCTGTATTAGTCACTGAGTTCTTGAACAAAAACACTCTGTTAAAAACTTCAAGAGCTGTGTTTTCGTTGCACATGCTCAGGAACTAAATGCTTTCAGCAGTTTTATCCAACGTGCTACACCTCCTGCTTTCAAAACTGGCTACTATCGAATTTTCTTGCAAATAAACTTGTATTAAGGCATGATTGGTACACAAGGAATGACCTTAGCGAAAATTGCTCCCTGAAATAAATGTAGAAGCATGTATTTCACTGGGCACATACCCCGACTACATTCCATATATTTACTGTCAAATTTTAACGAAAAATACTTTATCCATACAAATATAACGGTGCTGTTTGACCAAGCGCAATGTCTGGTCGGGGATTGAGTCAATTTTTTCCGTTTTGAAGGTTTACAAATGTGTAATTACCGAATTACCGAAAACGTTCGCTCGCCAACTTGACTTTTCAATTGTAACATTGGAATATTTGCAGAACTTAGACAATCCAAAGATCCCTCGGCGTGAAAGGAACTCAATGAATTCCTAAAGTTTAACACCATACTTGAGGAGGCACACGTGACGAGGAAATTCTTATCAGGATGTATTGTATTGGCCTGAGGAAGAATTACCGAAAACGTGCGTTCTCCAACTTGACTTTTCAAAAGTGTAATTATAAAATTGTCTTCCATTTTGCTAATTGAGGACTGTACTGGATCTAGAATGCAACCGACTTCGAAGGATCATGTGAGTCAGGTTTTGTTTCGAATACGAGTTCTTGAATTCGTGTCGAAGGTTGGGAAACATTCAGCTCAGACGCACAAACACCACGGCGTGAAGACTTAATGTCTCGATGACGCACTTTTGGAAATAATCCTTAAGACACGGACCAAATTTTCGGACTGCGGAGTAAAGTCCGATAATAAGTAGCAGAAAAATTCCGAATCCTCCGCCAGGGAGGATTTCAGAACTCGGTCGTCATTTAAACATGAACGAAGTCTGATATTTTGAACAAATATCGAGGGAGTGACTTTTCTGCCTTTCTCTTGCACTATCTACTACTGCACAGAAGGATGAGATTTAAGTTTTCAACTCTGACGCAAGGGCGTGAGCTGCAGTAAGAAGCACTCTGTCAGTGAATGATGGTGATTGTCCGTACAGCGTCACCCAACTGATTGAAAACCATGACGAGCGTAACCCTGGTCGTTCCGCTTCCTCCTTCGATTCAACGGTGTTTGTAGTTCTCGACTGGAATACCAGTCAGAAAACTCGGACAGATCAACGTCCGTTCCCAATGCCTCACTTATTTCCTTTTTCACAGTTACTTCGTTTATTTTACCTCAAAAGTCAGAGGGCAATGTAACAACCGTCTACAGGAATAATCCGAAAATTCGGTTGGGCAAATTCATCATATTATATTGGAGTACATCCCGAGAGGATCTTGTAGCGGACAGGTGTCACACTACGTCGATAGAACTACAGTATCCTTAGTCAAATTAGGAAGTAGTTGACTCTTTGACAAAGCAACACTAAAGCACGTCGTACATTTTCGGGGTGCGTAGACTTGACTGAAGAATAAGATCCAGCAAAATCTGTCTCCGTGTCAGGGATTGAAAAAGAATGAAGGAGGGTCAGAAAGGAGGTAGGACTTCAACCATATCAATTCGATTTATTATGGTAAGGATTCAGAGGCAGCAATCTGGGTCACGTCGGCCTACCTCCAAAAGGCCAATCAAGGCAGGCGTAATCGCATTCGGCTGCTGGTGCAGACACTTCAGGTCTAACATAACTCGCTGTGATTTAGGCCGGTAGTACACTCATCACCTTACAATTTAAAGCCGCTAATCTCGCTCTGGCTCTGGTCATATGCACCTTTAAATTCCTTTGAAGGCATGTGAGGAAAGAGTACCGAGACCCATTGGTAATTCCAGAAAAACGGGACTATTTACCGAAAAAGAGAACAAAGGGAATTTGTGTAAACTAAAGCAAAAATCGCCTTTGTGTTTTACCGGTGTCTTTCTTTACTTTGTCTGAGAATGAGCGTGGATAGCAGGGTGTCTATTCACTGCTCTACTACTGTTAGTTTCAGAGCCTATCAAGATCATACGCCTAGTAGTGCCAACTCGATAAACGTTTAGCGTCAAATCATTAGGTACTGAAATTTTTATTTAAGTTTTGCTTAGCGTCGTCAGTTAGGGATACTTCATTCTCAGGCTGTATTTTTACGATTTCAGCTTCGTTCGGCTTGTGGTTGGATATTTTTATGCTATATTTTCTCTCACTAGATGTAAGGAAGCGCAGTAGGTGCACTTACTCATCAAATGCTAGTCGACATTTAGAAATGGCTTTTGTTTCACTTATACGTACATCTGGCTCCCAAACTTTCCTCTCCATTTTAAAGTGTGTTTTTGACCCAAAAAGACTACCTAAGAAGGAGTGGAATACTACTTATCGAGCACCCTAATCCGAGATATTTCGGTCACATCAAGATGTCGATATTTGGACATGTTTTTTTCGGCTGCCGGCAAAAACTGCATTTTGTAACAAATGGCTGCATATATAAATGGCACTTTTGTATTTATTTTCAGTTCCTTTTTGAATTTGAATATAAGTTACCGAAAGAATGCGCAAACATATTTTCGCCTGCAGTCGTTCAATAGCAAATTACGTCTTCTGGAACTTTTATGCTTGATAAAGGCTAATCTTTCAGCTTTGAGGTTTTAATTGATAAATTTTAAAAAATCCTGAAATATTTTGTCATGAAACATATTTTGTCTCCGTTTGTTAATGCTGCTTTAAAATGCGTAACATACGCAATGCATATTGCGGTATTTTATGAACATTCTACGACGTCCTCTCAATAACTTATAAAAATGTATAATTTTCCTTACACGGAAAATACGCAACTTGTTTTTGAGAACCCTGATTGAAATTGTAACGGCAGGTTGGAGCCAAAAGAAACATTTTTCAAGTAGCGAATTCGGACAACCCTACAATTGGCTATCAAATGGGTACAAGAAAGAAGGAAATTATGCCTTTTACCGTAAGATATTTTCGAGTTTATATTAACATTGAAAATTAATTGAAAAATTCATACTAAACCATCAATTTTTAAACTGTGTACTTTTTGTAGTCGGCCGGAGGGCAGT